TCTTTTGCATCTTCATCTGTGTCCTCTGGTTAGGATGATTTTTTTGAAATATTTAAAATTATATAAAAAAGGGATTAAAAAAGAAATTATTATCATTATTGAAAAAGATGTTAAAGGTGAAGTAATGGCCTAGTCGAACATGATGCCATAATGTTCAAGATCTATGATCTGAACTCACCTGACGTACATAGCAGTGACACTGCAGAGTTGTCCTAGCACACTTTAAGGTGAATTACCCCCATCGTTATCAATCTAATGTAGTGGGTAATCTAACATAATCCATCTCAAGACAGAAATTTACCAAAGGAGAGCTGACTTTTAACTTTTAATCATATCTTTGGCTCTAGAATATGCTGGTTTGGAATGATTACCTGTAAATTAATTTTGGGAAGAGTTTGAGCTATTTTTAGTGAACTGCTTGGTTCTAATCCAGAGCATGACCAAAAATGTCTTCTTTGCTCGAGTATGTTGTAAGGGATAGAATCTTCAGAGAATTGGAATGTATTGAATATTGGCAAAGCTATAGTGGTGCAGGTCTATTAATTATCAGTAATGCACTATCCAATGACTTGTTGTAGTAACACTGAAAGGAGGGTTAAATAAATAGTTAAAAACTAGAAATATGTCCATAGGACATGGATGCCCTGCCTAATTGTTACAGGTGATGAAAAATCAAGTCTCAACTGGGACTTAAACCCAGGGCCTCTGGCATAGTGTGCCAGTGCACTAACCACTGAGCTATATTGGCTGACTCACACACCTGTGAACCCAGAAACATACCCCCCCCCCCCCCCCCCCCCCCCTTCATAGAAATTCGTCCTCGAATTCTTTGAGTTAATGAAATGCTGTGAGGCATGTTCCAAAGGAATAGTGGGTATTTGTACAGTTAGTACATTTCTAAGATTCCAGTGCATATAGTTTATGGACTATCTGTTTGTCAGCAAAATCTTTAACCTTGGCAATAAATTTTGAAATGTTTGTGCTAAGGTCTCTATGTTTCACGTTTGTATCATGTGACAAGAACTTTCTTAAGGTACCAACAAATTTACCTCATGACCTTGATCTTAGAATTTAACCTACTTTTGAAAAACTTTGAATTGGCCATAACCTTTTGAATAGTAGGTGCAAGGGCTTTGATATATTTCATGAATTTCTTGTGAAAAGGCAGTTCTTGAGGTACATGTACCAACATATTTGACTTCAAGACCTTGACTTTAGGGTTTGACCTACTTTTGAAAAACTTAACCAAACTTTAGCTTGGCCATAACTTTTGAATGGTAGGTGTTAGGGCTCATATATTTCATATGTGTATTTTTTGTGACAAACCTTTCTTTGGATAACAACATTTTTGAACTCATGACCTTGACTTTGGAGTTTGATCCACTTTTTAAAAACTTTAACCTTGGCCATAACTTCTGGATGATTGATGATAAGGCTTTCTTATTTCACATGTATTTCTCTTGTAACAAGACCTTTCTTTAGGTACCAACAGTTTTAATACTTTATCTTGACCTTGAGATTTGATCTACTTTTGAAAAACTAACCTTGGTCATAACTTCAGAACAGTTAGTGGTAGGGCTTTGATATTTCACATGTTATTCCTTGTGACAAGAAATTTCTCAAGGTTTCAAATTTTTGACCTCATGACCTTTACATTGGAATTTGAACTACTTTTGAAAGACTTTAACCATGACCATGACTTCTGAAAATTGGTTGGTGCTAGAGCTTTTATATTTCACACATGCATTCCTTTTGAAAAGATTTTTCTTTGGATACCAACAAAAAAAAAAGCTTTTCCCCCATAATTCCCCCAAACACACCTGGCCAATGCTATATGACCTTGAATAAAATTGACCTTTCAGATATTCAAGGTTATGATACACCTTTAGTTCATCAGCAGGAACAACAGTTCATCAAGTTTTATTTCATTCCATTCAACAGTTTCAATGTTATGGTTCAGATTTCAAAACATGACTCTCATTGTCCAGTACCTTTTCACTTTGAACTTGAATAAAGATCATGACATGTCTTTGCATCATCAGCAACAATATAATTTAGTTTAAATACATCAGAGTCAAGAATTCCAGAGTTATAGTCTGAACACAATTTCACTAACTCATTGCTTAGTAACCGTACCCTTTGAGATGTCACCTAAAATCAAAATTAGGACTTGATCATCTTTAGATCATGGTCAGTGTCAAAATTGTGAGATTCAATCCAATCTATCTAAGGATTCAGAAGTTTTGACCTTTGCATGATTTTGTGATAGATAGGAAGACAGACATACAACAATGCTAAAACTACCATGTCTCCTCCAGGTGAGGAGAAATAAAGATTTTGAACCAAGGTCAGAGGTCAAGGTCATAGAGTAAAATCCTTTTTGCGAGCATATTTCTTATACCCCACGCAACAAGTTGCGGGGGTATAATGTTTTTGACCCATCCATCAGTCAGTCAGTCCGTCCGTCAGTCCTATTTTGTTAAAACATAGAGACTTGAACAAGTCTACCTCTTCAACTGCAATCTAAATAAAATTAGATGTTCCGAATCCGCTACTGCTTCTCAAACATCTAACAACATCCCATTTGGGGTCACGTCAGAGCGACCTTTGGATTACCCAATGAAATCGCTGTCTCTGAAATCTTGGCTTATAGTTCAGATGCGTTTCTTTTTTTACTGCCAAACCTAAACACCCGAGGAGTTTCGTAGTAAACAAAATATGCATGGTAAAGACCGTGCTATATATGAATGTGACATGCGGGATATATAGACGTATACATGTAGTTTGTGCATTTTTGTTTGCATTATTCAGGTAAGAATGCCAGATTGGCGGACTATACGTTCAATTTGTACCAAAATTACTTTAATTCAACGTAAGACAGTCTACTGAGCATCAATAATGTAAAGATGTAGCCGTGGAATTAATTTTAGAATTGTATACAGAAGGTTGAATCTGATTGGCCAAAATTTTTATGTTTATTCATAATCGAAAGGTCGCTCTGACGTGACCCCTAATGGGATGTTGTTAGATGTTTGAGAAGCGGTAGCGGATTCGGAACATCTAATTTTAATTAGATTGCTTCAACTGCCTCACAGAATTTTGTCAAACTTTGCAGATATTTAGGACACTGTGTGTAGTTGTGCATATTGCTGGGAAGTTCTGATTCCATTATTTTTGCCCTTAGAATTTTTGCTATTATTGAAGAAACTTTCCAGCTAGGTAATAAGGAAATCCACTGGAATCAGCTTTTGTAATGAAATTTTATGTGAAATATTTTATGACCTTAAAAGACCCCTATTGATTTTGAGATCAAAATATTAATGATTCAACACACACACACACACAAATCTTAGATAGAAGTACACAAAAAGTTCTCAAACCCCCCCCCCCCCCCCCACTTCAAATTAGTGCTTTGCCTTGAATAATTTCATAAGTATAGTATATAAACAAATTTATTTGACTACATCATAATTTTGTTTCCATCAATTATTTAAATGTGTAAATTGCCATACATTGGACATGGACATACACTCATCACTGAGGAATTTAAATAACAGTTTGTCAGCATAACTCCTGCACTGAATTTCCTGAAACTTCCCAGGTCAAACATAATGTGTAGATTTGTATATTACCAAGAAATTTTGATTCCATTATTCATCTAGAAACTTCAGCCCAATTAAATTTGTAACATACAAAGATTTTAATGTCCTTATATGAAAGAAGTTTTGGTGTGATGATTTTTTGCAAGTAATGCCCCTTTTTGAATTATACTGTGTATTTTAAGTGCACCATGCCATTCATTATGTGTTGCATTGTCAAGTTTTGGGGGAGCGTGGGGGTATGTGAGCTTGCTTACTCACATCTCACCCATATTTTATTTTTCTCAGAAACACCAGTCAGTGCATTAATATTTGCAAAAATCAACTTAAAAAATTATTGATTTTCTTTTATTCTATCTTACATAACATTGTACCATTATCTGTCACTTAAGCCTGAGAGGTCTGCCGAGTTTGATTTTTATTCAAAGATGTTTTATAATAACATATGAAGTAACTGTCACAGGTCTTTTGGATGAACCTCAAAAAAAATAAAAAGAGAGGTTCCATGCCACGTTGGGCATTGGCAAGATAAAGAACCCTCACTTCCATGGAAATAAGTGACTATGCTGGCATTAAATTTTGAACATGATGAAATAAGAACATGTACAGTAAAATTTAAAGGGAACAAGCTTATAATGAATTGACTCTTACAGCAAAGTGAGTTTCATTCCTTGTGGAAGCGAAATCATCTGTTGCTTGCACATCGTTATTAGCGTGTTTTACTGTATGTGTTCTGTGAGAAAAACAGAACATGAAAAATAAAAAAGAGAACATTTGCCCTACTTTATTGGCTAGGTCTTGTAAAACTGACATTTCTTAAATCCTTTCTTGATGTCCAAAAATTTTAACCCCCCCCACCGGGCCCCCCACCCCCCCCCAAAAAAAATTTAAGTATTTTTATTTTAAATGTGACTTGATTTATGTAGTGTTTACAAGAAATGTTAGTCGTTACTGAAAGAAAAGATTTTATCATTTTAATATCAGGTAGTGACATAAAACATTTCTCATTTTTTTCATTCTGCAAATTTAATTCACCCAAAATCATTATTATCTGCTATTGATTTTAAACATTTAACAAGGGATTATTTTTTATTCTAAAATCAATGTCTTCAAGCAGATTCAAAGCTTTGTGTATATCTTGTCTTTCTGTCTATGTCTCGCAGTCTGGAAAATTCTGGATTTTACGGAATTTAAATCTTAATAGAAATTTGAAATAGAAATGGAGACTGGTTTACGCATTTCTTGTTTTTATTATCTGTCAGATTTCAACAACATGTTTTTGATATTAGAATTTGCATGGAGTTATTAATCCTATATGGATCTACCGTTGAAGAATTTAAAAACCATTGGTGTCCTTAACAGTATGTGCTGAGATATGACAGAAAGATTGTGGTATTTTCCCATTAGATACAAGGAGGCAAAAATGAACGTCTAGTGTCCAATGCTTTTATAATGTAGAAAATGCCAATATCTCATCACAGAAAGATAGATTGATTTTGGAAATTAAAGAAAAGGCAACTAGGTGCTTGTGGAATGTGTTTCATGTGTACTATGAAACTTTCTTTGCACGGCTGATTTTGCAATGATGGAATATTAGAAAATTCCGTTATGGATAAATTAATTGCATGTTTTATTCACTCTAGATTATAATTCAAATCCTGAACAATGAACTGTGTATATTTAATAAGCCGGAGAATAGTTATTAGGGCAGAATTGGCTAGCACTATGATATGACAACATATGAAGATTTGGACTGTTTCCTATGTAAATGTGCTGTACACTATGTACAGTATCTAGACCTATTGAAAGGTGATGCAATAAGAACAGGTAATATGGCTTAAATTTGAATCAATATATACAATTATATTAATTTTACTTCTAATAATGTAAGATTTATTACACAGTCCACTGTCAGGGCAAGCATTTAATAACCATCTTCTTGTAGGGCAATTTTGACTTTTATTGCGATTACCAGTATCAATGAAAGAAAATAAACTTTATTTAAAATAAAGGAATCAAGACTGCATAGAAGAAAAAAAGTAATGCCAAATTAAAAGTCAATTATATGATAAAAGTTTTTAATGGTGACTCTATAATCATGGCACCTTCTTTTTTATGAAAACCTGTACTGTCGTATCTGGAGTATTTCACTGGCATTTACTGGATCACCTAGGGTCAGAGTGACCAAACCTTGCTGCAGTTGCAACAAAATAAATTTATCTGTAAGGTGTCAATTAATGAATCTAATTTGAAACCAGAAACAACTTCTCTATTATAAGAAAATTCTGATGCAGTTATAAGATTATAATGTTCTGATAACTTTGTTCTTTTAAGTTTGTTGCATTTAAAGGGGGATAACTCTTTTTACTCCTTTTAGTCTTAAGATATTTATGGCTGAGAATGTGAGGTACGTGGTAGAAAGAAAACCCCTTTTTTGCATATGAAATGAAATTAGTTTTAATGGTCATCAAAATAAATACTTGAGCAAATGAACTATGAATTCATAAATTTTTAAAAAAGACGAAGTTGAATGTTCTGGAGAATTCTTTAAACGAAAGACTACGCATGTTTTTACCAATGATCAACAGCTGTGGAAATTAAATTTCATATGTCATTGTATGGAAGAGTGAAATTCTAAAGTTATGTACAATGCCTAAAAGAATTTAAAAACAATACTATGTTTCTTGTTTTTAAATTAATCTCAATCCTGATTAACAATTGTTTGAACTGATGTTGATATTTTGGATTGAATTCGAAAAAATGTCTATTTTTGAAAACCACAACTGAACAGTTTTTAAATTATTATTATTTAAATTAAGAGAACCCCTGCAGAATAAAGCCTCTGATTTGTTTTAGGGTATCCCCCCCCCCCCCCCCCCCCCCCCGAAAAAACAAACAAACGAAAAGAAAAAAAAACACAAAAAAGGAAAAAGATTAAACAAACAAACCAAATAACAAACAACACAGAATGAAAGAAGAGAGAAACCTTTTTTTTTTTTTTTTACATATTTTATTTAATGGCTTATAAATGATATCTGTTTCCTATAGGGATTTTGTGAAACATTTATCAAATATAAGCTGACATTTTGGAGTTTTGTTGATAAAAAAAGGTTAATTCCAGTACTTATTCATGTTTGATCTTAAGCATTTACTCACGTTTGTAACTTAGACTGTCAAAAGTTAATTCTGTGTTTAATGTCACCAGCCTGAGAAGGTTTCGGAGAAATTGGCACTTTGAAAGAAAAAACAAATTGGTATTTTTTAAAAGTTTGTATTCCAGCTTGTGTTTACTTTTAGCAACTAAAAAATGCATTTGGGGCCCTGAATAAAATGTATTTGAGATGAGTCTATCATATATATTGTCAGATACTAAAAAATGATAATTAAACAATATTTAGCCTACATTATGCACAATTATTTACAGTATTTTGATTCAATTAAATGAGTTAATTATACTCATTTGTTTGAAATTTTTGTTTTATTTTTTCTATTTCCCTCATAGATTTTGAAGTTTTTAGGTGACATTAAACACAAATTGATTTCAAACCAGCCTTACATGAAGAATTTTATAGTAGTTCATTTTTGAGTCTGCATCTTAGTTTCCTAGTTATAATGCATTGTAAAGAATCAACAAACTGGGTCTGATTCATGATATCATCAGAAGTAGGTCAGAGTGACCCCATTCTGAACAATGCCAAAAATCAATATACTGTGTTTGATTCACGATAAAATCAGAAGTAGGTCAGAGCTAGTGACCCCATTCTGGAATTAATGTGGCTCACCATGTGATTATAATTATAGAAAAGTGCAGGACATAACTTTATTGATCTCTCTTAAATCTTTGGATATAAAAGCTTATCCATTGATGCATGTGAGGGTGATGTATGTGTCACCTTAAAATGGAAAACAATGACTGCATTTTGAATCTCAAGAACAGCACAATAACACATATGTTAATTAATGCAATGATTTACAATCTAAATTTTGTTTGAATAATTTTTTTTTGATCTCCATGCAGGTAGGAAAATGTCAGACTTTTTTCTTTACACAATATTTGATTTTGTTAAGTTGTTATTTTGTATAAGCTGTATCCTACTGCAAAAACAGCAAAACTTCAGACATGTATATGATCATGGTGTTTGACTATAATATCTTTGAAATCAAGTTATACACAAGTCACTATCTCTATACTGTATATATGAAATATTTTGCTCTATTGTTATTGCAGGTGGGAATGACTTGGATGAACAAGTTAAACTTCAGCAGGCAATGCTTAGAAGACAAGAACTTCTAGATAAAATCAGAGTGAGTCATGTATTGTCAATTTTTAAAAAAAAAAAAATTGAAACCATGCAATATACATTTTTATGCATAAAATTCAAACTTGCTTAAGCTTGGCATAAGAAAGAATAGTATACTTTCAGCATGAGCAATTAGTCAATGAGGATTACGGACGGCGACCCAGATCTCACAGTGCTAGACGACGCTACACCCCCTCCCCATTACCTCCCCCACCCTCCCGACGCTCACTGCCAGACTTCAACCGGAATCAGTCATTTAGAGACGACAACAACAACCCTTATAGAGATAAAGGTGAGGACAGTTTATAAACAGTCGTGACAAAGTAATGGAAGCTTAAGTTTTCTGTAGTTCTGTTTTCCAACTCGAAGTTGTACTTTCACCCATCCCTCCAATTCTCCATTGAAGTTGTACTTTCAATTAAGGTCATCCATCCCTCAAGTTCTCTCTGCCAGCTCAAAAAAAATGTCTCTAATTCACCAAAGAAAGTGTGTCTTTCACTGCCTATTTTTGTCAAAGCAGAGCATATTAAATAATCATATTCCCAAAATTCCTAAATGCTTTTTCTTACGTATATGTGTAATGTAAATGAGCCATCAAAGAAGTATTTTCTTGTTGGAAATTGATTTTTAAAAAAGTTATTTCTTAATAAAATTAAGCTTCAATTAATATAAATGTTAATTTCAAGAGTTATTTTTCCTTGCTTAGGGGTGTACATCCTTGAGCAAGGAAAGGTAGATGTGTAACAGCTGCTTTTAATAACATCAAGTTAGAAGATTTGATGTTTTTAAGTTACGAGGCTTGATACATTGTTAACATTTATTGTATATGTTTACTTTTGCTTCAAAATCTCTTGAGTTGTCTGAAAAGTACACATGCACTCACAGTGGAGATGAAAAGGTATTGGTGCTCCATATTATTAGATGTCATATTCTTATTTCAATGGTAAAACCTTAATTAAAAAGTTGAAACTCAACTGAACTCACACATGTCAAGATGACACGTCGTTTCTTTGTTGCAGCTGAACTTTTATATATTGAATATTTTTTTTATCGTTTTTAATCACTAGAAAGGTTCCTTGGTGTCAACAGTACATCTTGCAATTATACTTCAATCTATCCGAGGCCTGATAAAACTCAACAACTTTTAAAGGAATTTAAAAATTAAATCTTTTGATTTTATGGTTCTTTTTTCTATAGTTCTTTTACTTTATCATATTCATTTGAAAAAAAAATTAAGAAAAATGATAGTAAGTAAATCTATAGGTATATAGGTACCAGATAAATAGATAGATTCAAGAGTTATTGTTTCTATGATACATTGATTCAAGAGTTATTGTTCCTTGCTTAGGGGTGTACATCCTTAAACAAGGAAAGGTAGATTGGTTGCATGATAAAGAAATCTGAAAGAAAATAAATGTCAGCAACAAGATACAAGATTTGATGTTGTTAACATTTATTATGTGTGCTTTTCTATCAATATTTCTTGAATTGTCTTAAAATTGCACATACTCACAATATAGATAAAAAGATTGTGCTCTTAAGAAATATTAATAGATGTCAGATGATATATAAATGAATGAGTGAATAAATAAATAAAATCAAGAAAGAAAGAACAAAAAATACTTATATTGAAGATAGTAATTAAATGCTGAAAAAATTTACCCTTACTTGCAGACTCAATTGGACACTTTATGTGAAAACTTGCAGTAAATTAAATACAATAATCAAAAAAAAAAAAAAAAAAATGCTGATGTGCCCCATTTTAAAAAGCTAAATAACCTAAATGCAAAAATATTTTTGAGGCCTAAGTAGTATTTTGATTTCAAAAATTCATAATTTCATTTTGCTATAATGATTTAGAAGCTAACAGGATATGGATTTATGTAGTGATAGCTCATGTTAAACTTAAATCATCAACAAATCAACATTTTGGGATTGTTAATTTGTTAGCTCACCTGGTGCTCAGGTGAGTTTTTCTGTTTTTCTGAGCAAAATTTGTCTGTTCTCTTTTGTTGCTGTCATTGTCTTAATTTGTTACATGTACTTGTCATCATAAACTTTACAAATTTCATCCTCTTCTCCAGATAACCACTGGACCATGAATTTCAACCAAACTTGCCACAAAACATCCTTGGGTAAAGAAGGGGTTTTAAGTTTGTTCAAATGAAGGGCTATGTCACATTCTGAGGGAAGATAGACTAGAAAAAAATCTTCTCAAAAGCCATAGGACCAGAAAAGATGAAAATTATGTGAGAGCTTCTTGACATAGTATAGATATAAGTTTAATCAAATTTAAAAAAAAAAAAAGAAAAAAAGTGAACTTTTGGATTAGGATGGAGCCAAAATCAGGGATCATTATTTACTCAATGCATGCACAGAAGATAAAAATCTTTAAAAACTCCTTTTCTCCAGATCTGAGAGGACCATGCTGATCATATTTATAATAAAGCATCTCCATGCCGATGTGGATTCCAGTCATGACATGACCCCTTGGGGATAGGGTGGGCCACAACTGGGTCAAATTTTTTCATGTGAATAAAGGGGGGATATTATCTTCTTAAAGTCTTCTGGAGAATAGCAGCCAGTGTGACTCAGGCGAGCTTTTTGGCCTGTTGGCCTGTTGTCTAGTCTAGCTATTATAGAGGTTAAAGATATTTCAAATGTCCTATTCATCTGTGCAAGCAAAATATATAAAAAAAAAAGTTCCAGTCTCTGTATAATGAAAATTCAATGAGTAATGAATAGCAAAGAAAGAGAATTGATAAATATTTATCTCTATAGTGTCATGAATGGCTTTATTATCAAGTTTATATGATATTGAAAAACCCTGGCAATGATGTGTTAAGTTCCACTGGCATTGGCAAGACCCAAGAATATTGAAATGTACGTCATTTATGTGCATATATGAAAACATTTCAATGTGCTCTATGATGCAGACAATTGCATTGGTTAAGGCAAGAATGAGTTTGAGATCTACTTTTATATTTATAACTTAGCCTACTTCTTTTCATTTGTCATTCTGTCAGTGGTGTAAAGAATTCTGCATAGTGCATGTGTCTTGGTGCAGAGGCAACAAACCCATGTAAGATTTTATGTTTACTCAACAACAGCTTAAAGAAAATTTGCTTTGAAATTCTAAATGGCATTCTCTGTTGCCTATCTGAACAACCTTCAACTCACTGAGATATTTTCATGTATTGGTACCAATTTACCATAGCACACCAAGTCTCTCTTAGAAGTCTTTTTTTCTCCTTTTTTCTCATTTCTTATGCTTCTAAGTTCCTTTATGTCAAAAATAGAAGACTTCCTTCAATAAGAAGGAATCAGGTTTCTCATGTAAACATATCTCTTTAGTAACACATATAACAATTAAAGTACTTTAAAAATTGAGATGCATTACAGAGCATGAAATAATTTTCAAACAAATGTAATGATTAACATGCATATCAAAGGAAAGGCAATTTATTTTTTTGAATTTTGTCTGCAGCTTCAGTCAATTATGCACATTTAAATCTTATTTTGTTGTCTTGAAAAGAGATTTGTCAAAAATTTTATGTTTTTTTCTTATATTTTTAAAGAACTAAGTGACCTTCTTTGATGAAGACTTGTGTGATACTTTTTAAAGCTTTGATGTTTAAAAAAAATGTATGTATATGTATTTGTTTATCTTAACTCCCTACTTATTATTACATCATTTTAATAGGTACATACATATATGTCATGCAGTGATTCATCTGCTTAAATAAAAAATATATTAATCAAAACATGGATAAAAATTAAAATCAAATATTAAGTGCATGTTATTCACTTAAGGTTTAAACATGTCTGCAGAAGTAAAACGATCGACAACTATTTTTTTTTTTCCAAACCAAAAAATAAAATCCAACATTCCTTCCTCCTCCATCCTTTGAATCCAATGCAATGGCCACTCAATAATGATTTAAGGAGAGAGGATAATAACTCCTTTGTTATTGAGCAACAACATGTTCAAGTTTGATTGAATTCAAGACAAATGGTTTCAAATTATTGTCTCAGACATGATTTTGTGACAGATAGACAATCATGCCAAAACTAATATATCCTTCCTATGGGGGATCAAGATATAAAGCATTTCTGATTTTAAAAACAACAATATAAATTTTTATGTCTTGTTATTTGATATAACTCAGTTTTGTTGTTCAAAACTCTTAATTTATTTAAATGTTTTTCTCACTGATCTCAAAAGTGCCATCTCAGGTGTGAGTAACGTGTAAGCCTTCATATCTGAGTAATAAATAAAATGCTCCTTGAATTTCCAAAGCTTTTTTAGTTCTCCTTAAATAAAAGGCAAAAAACCCTTGTCACATATTGAAAAGGCTAATTCAATTGATTTATTGAATAAATTAGCTTTCCTAAAGAGAAAATAAGAGCATATACATGTCCCATCATTCAGTGATACTTGAATTAATGCTGTACTTCAGTGGTATATGTGTATGTCTGTGTCAATGATATTGCAATTTCAGTTGAGAGTTTTAAAAGTATTCTTAACATTTTAAGTGAGGTAATAGTTATTAGGTGTTATCTTTATAAAGGTGGTAATGTATGTATTCATCATATTCAATAACCATAAATGCCTCCATTCACCTGAAAAACGGACTGCATTGAAGCTTGTATTCTTTACTTATTCTGTATTTATTTGTCATTTAGGAAACTCCATTATAATTCAGGTGGAAATAGAGAGAAATCAAACCTTTGTGAATTTCTTCACAGTATGTAGTTCTAAAGAAATGAAATAGTAAATGCTTTTGATCTTCTTTTGTCTGTTAAGTGAAAACAGAATATTTGTACCAAATAAAGGGAATACAACACTACTGGCATAACCCTTCCTTTATAAAGATTCTGCCATGGCGACCAAAGAAATGACTCCAATGTTCCGCAAACAAAGTAACTTATAGGCTTTGACATAGCATAAGTTTCCAGATTTTAAATGGTAAAGCTAAAGTAATTTTGCATTTTTAAGTTCCATTAGAACATCAGAGAATTTTTGACAGAATATTACAGGTGTCTCACCAAATTGGATTAGTGTTTTGGCATACCTTCCTATTGCAAGAGATCTTTGCGGCATCAAAGTTGGAAATTTTTATTTTCCCAGGGGAGCCCCTTTTTTAAAACCACTGAAGCAAAACTCAAAGAAGTAAAACTCATTTTCAAACTTGTTGAAAGCTGTTTGCGAGTCGTCTATCTAGGGAGATAGTCACCATCAAGATTGTGTAAGAATTTATTTCTTCTCAACATGCCACAAATGGCATGGACAATTGGTTGATTGAGACTGGAAATGACATAGTGAGAGATTTCGTTCAACATGGTCAACTTGACCAAGGTAGGGATTTATCTTGAATACATTTGATGATATTGGTTTCCATGGTAACACACATAAGTTTGAGAATTGAAAAAAAAAAAAATTAATTACTTGCTTTGAAATGATTTTTTGATTTTGATTTTTAAAAATTCTTTTTTTTTTGTACTTTGCAATAAAAAAATTTTGTTTTATGTGTAAATCTGAATCTAAAGATTTACAATACATAGTATCTATAGCTATAATTATAAAGAAAGAATACATAAAATTGACAAATGTATTTTATGCATGCAACATTGCTATTAACATATTTTATCCAGATACCTGTTACCATCTATATTTAATCTGCCCTTGAACACCAGGGATTATGATATTAGAATAATCTGAATTGAAGATACATTTATTCACTTTGTAGGTTTAAGTAAATAGAAATAGCTTGACCAAATATCAAAGGTACACTAATTCTTATTTTAAGAATATAGCATCTAATGTACTCTAAATTTTTATATCCAGTGACTTTTAATCAATATATATAGCCTGAATTTTTTTTTTTTACTGGAAGAGGAATTGAAAGGTACGTTTTCTGAATATGGTACTTGGTCAATAACTTGCCCCTATTTTATAAATGATGGAGGCAATACAAGTTATTTATTTATTTCAATGTAAAAAATGTAAAATTTGTAGATGCAATTCAACTTTGGTGCTAGTCCATTGCATAAGTCAAAATTATGCACTTGTTTTAATGTATTCCCTGGTGATGATTTGATAGTGAAAAAATTCTTGGTGGGATGAAAAACTACATTCATCAAACAATCAATCAGTCAATCAATCAATCAAACAGTCATTAATCTGTCAATTAATTGTATGTTTTAATGTTAGTGGCCTTAAAGACCAGTGACTTTTGACCTACCATACAGATGTAAAATGGACAGGTATCCCTTGCTTATATATAATTATATTTACCAAAGTTGATGACTGTTAGGCTGGGACTTCTTGCATTATATGAGGCTCAACAATATAGTCAACCAATACCATATGAGCTACTGACATACATTCTTTATGTTTAAAGACAATAGTAACCATTGACCTATGACCCCAGGAGTGCGTGATTAGGGGGTTGTTTTGATAAGTCATAGGTTACTGTTCTTGAAAAATATGACAGTTGCAAATAATTAAAGCCTATTGTAGTAAATATTTATCAGAATATAATTTAATTTTGTTTGTATTCTAGCCTCTGATTGGTTAATATCCAAAAAGGAACACAAATTATTTCTGTATAACCTGGTTTGGTATGGGGACACACCCCCCTGACAACCAGCTGAATTATCTGTATCCATACAATCCTCTCATTTCCAGTCCTCGGGATTCATGGAAAATTCCAGATTTAATAAATGTACCTTTAAATTCAAACAATAATTCGATCTTACCACATGTAACCAAACAACATGGCTGCTATGCCTATGCATCAGTTTTTACCTCCCCTCGATTCCCATCACTTCCGTTACTTCCGTTACTATGGTTGTATTATTGAGCGGCAAATTTGAACTAATAAAAAGTAACGAAATTTTACACCCATAGTTATTTAATGATTTTAAAATTAAATTATAAGGAATGACTCTAATTCTTGGCCAAATTATTCGAGTATAACCTGGTTTGGGTCAGTTTACGCTGTTTTATAATCCGTTTCGCGGATTATAAAGCGTAAACTGACCCAAACCAGGTTATACTCGAATAATTTGGCCAAGAGTTAGAGTCATTCCTAAAATATTGATGCGAGTGAATGACCTCACCCTACATTAGAATGGTAAATTCCATTTCATATGGTAAAAGTGGAATCACACCCAATGTGTTTTTAACTAAGAGAGTTTCTATAAGACACAAGAAGTTTTAATTAAGGACCATGTACTTATGAGAGATACTTAAAAATATTGCCTTCTTTTCTTAAAGGAGGCATTTTTAATGTTCATTGAATGAATTTGCAACATTTAGTGGTCTACATTTTCTGATAATGTTTGATCAGCAATGTTTACTTGTACATGTACTTCTATCTGCAAGAAAAAAAAAAATAGAGCACTGTGTGTTGTCTAAATACTGCAAGGATTTTAATTTTGAAAAAAAAAATGTTTCTTTTTCAGATATGCAACAGGTGAAGCATATAATTGAACACAGAGTCAAAACTCCCCCACAGTACCATCTACCACCCATACAGAATCCCCCGCAGCTACCCGTGGTGGCTAACCCTCAGCCCTACCCCCAACACATCATCCAACAAGTTCCTCAACCTGTTGTTCAGAACTTGGTGCCAGAACAAAGACAAAGCATGTTTAACAAAGGAGGTGTGTTGTTTTCTAGACAAAAAATTATGTGCTTTTCCCAAAAGTAGTTTATCAACATCAGAACCAAACACAGACTGTGCAAATTATAGAAAAGTTAAATTAAAATTCAAACTTATGAAAGTGTTTATAAGTAAAAAAGTTTTTTGGTCTTTTAGATTGGATGGAGATGATGATGATGCAGAACCATCAGATGCATCAGTTAGTGGTCCAACAAATGATGTTACGCAGTCTGCCAGGAGGCAGTTTGTCCCAGGCTCCAGTAACATACTTGTCCGAACCTGCAGTTGTGGTAAGTTATGTCCTTTTGATGATTCCCAAAATCAATTACCGTACAATTTATTTTTTTTTTAAATATTAGAGCTTGAGCATATATTTTGATAAAGACGTTTGTCTGTAGCCCATGTTTAAACAAGCCCATAGTTCCATACAAAACAACTTTTTGAAAACCATGCAGTGTTCGCATTTGCCATCAAAACTTACATAAAAACTGGCTTGTGGTTTGCAAAGGTGCACAAAATATTGTTATATTCAGCCAATCATATTGTGATTTTTTGTTTCAGAGGTCACCTCCCCCTGCTGTCCATCATCATCATTATCAGATGTCCCCGCCCCCTCAGCCCGCTGTTCATCACTACTCCGCATTACCTCCCCTTGAGCCGTAAGTAATTTATTATAATAAGTAAATGAACTAAAATAATTATACTAAAAAACAACACTTCTGAGTATCTGTAAACTTTGAAAAATTATTTGAACCAAATTGTACATCAACTTAAATTATGTGGATAATGGTATTTAATTCAGTACATTTATACATGCAGTACTAAATGTATAGTTAAATATGTTGTATTAAAAAATGTTTTCTGATCAGAAATGGCCGAGCACCACCTCCTCCAGGGTAGGTCACTTTGTCTGGAAAAGGGTCATGTATGAAATGATGGGTGTCTCTCAGACTCAACTTCCTTTTTTTATCTTGTATTTCATAGTGCACTTTCTCATGTATAAAATGCATCCATAATTTTGAAAAGTCCATTTAATCTCCAATTGACCAGTCTTAATAAGGTGGATGGTTATCTAGCATTTTGTCGGGATACATCTTCATACTTTTTATTGAAAACCTGTGAGATTTAGAACTGATAAATTCAATAAATAAATAGATAATCTCAATCTTATTTTTCATGACTAAGTAAATGAAAATAGGTGGAAAAAGAGAAAAGTAAAGAATTGAAAAAAAATTCTACATGATTACAATATGAATTATCGACACTACTCATGCAGAACTCAGAAATTCTGTGTATTTTTTGAGGACCCTCATACAATTTTCTGTTTCACATTCACTTCCCTCCACCCCCTCTTATACTGTTTGTATATATTCTGCCCATGCACAGAAATTCTAATTTGACATTATTTTACATAATTGAAAATTCTTTGAGAATACCTGATATTCATTCAAAACCATGAATGAATACAGAAAGGTTATACACTGTAACCATCCAAGCATTTCCTTCTGTGTGACCTAAAGGACTGCATTGCTTACCTGTTGTTTGCTCTGCTGTATATGGCTAGAAATATGTTTATGATCATCAGTAACTGCTTTTAAAAAGTTTAAAATTTAAAAATATAGAGAGGCATTTTCATGGATAGGCAATTAATTTTGATGAATGGTAATGATAAAATACATTATTATATTGAAAGAACAGCCCTATGGGTATAGTTATAATGAGATTGCTTTTAAGATAGCATATGATGTCATTTATATGTAACCATTTATGATTAACTCCTTAATACTTTAAAAAAAATTATGCAGATGTAAAGACAGTTTTTATTTCTTTGTTGGTGCTCTTAAACTGGTCTTTCTTACATGTATTTTCAACTGAGTCTTCTGTGTGTTTTCTTTTCCAGGAGAATTGTCTCCCCAGTGAGGGGTGAGTTACAAGGCTATCAGCCTATTTACTACCAATGATTTCACCAAAACACCTTGGTAGAGTATTATTTGAATTTTTCCATTTAATTTCATACCCCCTCCCCCAAATATCCTGGCTGCTCTAGAAAGCATAGTTCTAGTTGTACTTAAAGTTTGGAAGTGGTCGTGGTGGTTCGGTGCATTATTGCAAACTGCATTTGCATGAAGGAGTTTGTTCTTTCATTTTACAAATGAGATATGTTAAAGACTGCATGCAGTTACTCCATTGCAAGTTCACTACAAGAATAAGCCTCAATTGCTTCAAAGTGCTCAAGACATTGATTTCTCTTGAACACTTTGGAACATTCTTGAGATCATGGCTGATGATGAAAAATAAGCTGCCTAAGCTACATTTGTCAAGGCATGCAAACTCACGTTCACAAAATCAATGGATAATTTAAAAAGTAACAACGGATTTCAAACATAAATCCATTTAAAAAAAAAAAGGTGACTTAGTCCGTAGTATAATTTAACCTTGAAAAAAAAAAACCTCTATTGGGGTGTATTGTAGTGATGATATAATTCTAACATATTTTTCTACTTTGCCTTGCTAACTACTAACTTTGCACATGGGACGCTTCAACACAACAGAATGATTGCACATTTTTGTTTTCACAGTAAGTAACACATTTACTAACCCCATATTATAGAACTGTAAATCATAGTAGTTTCAAATTAGATGTTTGATACCTGTACCATTTGACAAAAAATATTTCAATACCATTAAAAACAAAAGCAAAAAAAAACATGCATTATTTGACACAAATGTGATGCAATCTACCTATAGAAGTCAGAGTAACATCTAATTGAAAGTTTGACCATTAACAATTCCAGAGAATGTATGGTACAGATATTCAAATATCATTTAAGAGATTTTTAAAAAAAAGTTAAAATTCATAATGAAAAAGTATAGTGCTAAGAAAAAAAAATGTATTTGACCCAATAAGCACCTTTGTTATTAAAATTTAAAACAATGCATTTGTAAGATTTTGTTAATACATATATATGATGTTAAAGTGAAGATAAAGATTTTTTTGAAAAATAAAAAATAACCATGCTGTTGCTGATTTTGTTTAAATGTAAAGGACGGGGTGGTTATTGGGGCAAATACTGTATAAAGTATATAAGACAAGCACTGTAGCAAGTATGATGGTCATAAATAACAACTAAAAATTATTAAATTTTTTCCATCACCTATGAACAAAAAATATATTGTTTAATAATTTTTGAATATTTAGGACATTGTGTACAAGTGTTATCAAACTTTCAATTCTAACTAACAAGGAAGAATAAAAGAAGGATTATTCTGATAAAAAAGCTTCTGAAAATGGTCAGGAACCCATAGTTGGTCTCACTTCTTTTACCTAAGAGAGTGGTAAGTGAAGCAAAACCATCTGTGGGTTTCTGATGATGGCTATAGAATTGATTTCAGTTTCTACTGCATTGGTTTTGTTAGAATTATATAACTTTAATTGTATGTATTTTGCCTTGTGCAGTGTCATACAAATAGGATTTAGGGTAAACAAAGTCAGTGTCACATGTCAAAGGAGAAAAAGTTCAAACTGTATGGCAAAGGAAGAACATAGTCTTTTTAGATACTGGATATTGTAGAGTTTGATCCATCAACAGCAATTCTCTGAAGCTGAAAATCTTTGAAATGGAAATGTTTATGTTTAGCCTTTTATAGAACTATTAAAAACATTGAATTTCATATATATAGATCCAACAGTTGATGTAAACCAAAAGTGTGTTTCAATCTTGTAGAATGCTATACAGAATCATTGTAAAAAATAATAATTGGTACAGTCAAACCTCAATTGCTTGAAACCAACAGCCCCTTACAATCTGAACATTGAGATATATAAGGCTTTGAGACATATGTGGAAGATGGGAATTAAATTTATGATATAACTAGGATCATACTCTCACCTTGGCATACCCTTATTCTCATATGGGGAATAACATTCAGTTATAATTTAGGTTTTATCTCAGGATGCTGGTCATATTTCTACATAAAAAATTCACGTAACACATGAACAGGTCACAAATTTAAGCAAAGATTGTAGGAATAAAAAAATCTGTTGGGAATGGTGTAAAGAACTCAACTGCAATTTGACAAAATCTTCATAAAACCTAGAACCTGTTGAATGAAATTGGGAAAAAAAATAGGATATGTGTGTGGTCCTCTACCTTTAAAAAACAAATGCACTCTTCCAAATGCACTTCTTTAACATCTGTCATTTAAAAGTGTCTCTGCTGTGTGAAATGTCACCACCAGCATGTAATCCAGGAGGCAGAAAAAACAAATAACCCTAGTATTATTTGAAAGCTTTCTCTTGCACATGATTAAACAAGTCAAGTGAGATTTTCTGAGGTACACAGCGAAGTTACCGCATGTGAATTTCATTTGAAAATTTTCACATGAATTTCATGTGAACAAAATACAAAATGAGAATCAACCATGTGAATTTCACTTGAAAAGAGCACACAAGTGAAATTGATGTGAAATTCAATGACATATGAAATTCAATGATAGAAATATGGTGACATGTGAAATACAAATACATGACACACAATGACGTGAAATTCAATGATGTATTGAAATACGTCGTGAAATTCTCTTCATGTGGAATTTATGTTAGATGAACATTTGACGTGATGGGCTAGTTTTTATTGGTAATTAAGTCTTTAAGATGCACTTACACAATGTCCTAGAAATTTCAAAATTTAAGCTTTTTAGCATTTTCAATGTTTATTATATGCACCATGGCAATAAACTTTTCCACCATTGATCTGTGTTTTCTTGTTTTTTCAGCCACTACCACACTTCCCGGCTACTATTATTACAATGATGATGGGTCCAATTATTATGTGTACCACTGAGAAAGGTGAACTTTGAACTTTGACCTGGTGAAACTTGAACCTAAGGGTGAAACATTTCTATAGGATAATTAAAGTCATGTGATATCTGTGATACATTAAAAATAGATTTTGTGGGTGGCAACCATTTTGAAAATAGGATAGATGAAATTAACAGTGAAATTAGAGACCTGTAAAATGAGAAAAAAATTACCAAAAAAATAATTTCATCCTGTGCAATTTAGTGCTACGTTATTTTCTATCTTAATTAGCTTGTCAGTTGCCAGTAACATCATATTTAGATTTTCAGAATTTGAATTTGAATTTATAGTACATTGCATTAACTGTTTAAAGTATAATTTATATATTTATCTGTTTATTTATTCTGTTACAAAAATTTTAATTTCATTTAGCAACAAATGTTGGATATTTATAAACAGTTTCATCATCAAATTAGGAAAGAACAAATGTTTGCATTAATTAACAGTACATGATGTAAATAATTCCAAATGTGATATTCACTGGGAGAACCCATACTACTCATTTTGTTGTGTATAGAATGTATATGGATTTATATGCATAAATAAAGTCATTATTTTCACTAAAAATTTGGGTGTTTTCTTGTCTTTGGTTTGAGATATGGTATCATGAAAACCCAGTAGTTCATTAAGACCTTTGACATTTTATCTATGGATTGTATTATAGTAAGTTTTTTTTGTTCCTTGGTTTCTTGGCCTATATTCATCCCTTTTAAATGTTGCACCCTTAGAGCTTTGAGTTAGCTAAAAGTTTCAAAGTGGAACATTCTCAGTGGCTTCAGAATAAATTTAAAATGGCTGGGCAAATAGGATAGTGAGCTTATAATTAAATTTTATTTTAGATAAATGTAGTAATAATCTTGCATTAGTTACCCTATTTATAATAATGAGATGTTTTATAAGCTAATGTAGTCCCAATTTAAAACTAACAAAAAAGGAGGAAATTGTGGATCTTAAAATTACTTGGGTCCATATTCTGATTCAATTTTCAATGCTTTAATATACCCATAGAATTAAATGTACCTATATTAAATTGCTTTTTAAGTGCTTTAATGGGGCAAAAAATCTTATCCATCTTTCACTGTAACTGTGGAGAATTTTAACATAGTAAAAATTATATGCAACATTGACTATCTTGTAAAGGTCAAGCTCCATAAAGAAAGACTGATCTGTAATTAACCAACTTTTCTTTTTTTTTTTTTTAACATCAAAAAGCACTTAAATGTGTAATATATTATCTAATCCTGAATGATATAACTGATACATTAGATAGGAAAAACTAATTGATGGAAAAAAAAGTTTCAGAAATGAAATTGGGATTAATATTGCTTCCTAGCTCAGAAGTAAATGTAATGCATGTAAATGCTTTGCTCAAACCCACCCACTCAAACTTATGTCTTAAAATGCCTTAATTTAATGCATTTAATTCAGCCAAGATTTGTGTTACTCGACCAAATATACCTTATGTATATACGAGTTTTGGCAAGATTTGTATAGTAAATTCCTGTCGTTATATTTTCATATAAGCAGTTTGATATGGAAGATAAACAGATGTATTAAAGGATTTAATCTATCAAAAATTCCAGTTTTGACTGCATATAGCTATACCACCTTAAGAGCACCTCTAGACACTATGATATTGATATCTGTTGTTATAGCCTCTGTCTGCTTGATTTTCCTTTAACAACCCCCGTTCATCCAATATGATGGCGGTGTAAAAGGCATTTATTTTATGAATTCACTGAAGTAGAAATCCATTCCTTACCCCTCCTAAAAAATAAATTTACCTTGAAGATGGGTCTAGGTAGCCTAAAATTTTAATACACCTTTCAGAAAGAAAAATATGGGTGAAATTGTTGGTGTCATGAATGCCTTTAATGTAAGAAAACCAAGGTGTTTTGTTGAATCTGTTTTTATGTGTTAAAATTTACATATTTATTTGTGTTTATCAATGCTTTCATTTGTGTACCAACATTTATCTTGATTTGTGTATGCTCTCTCTGAATTGCATTTATATATCTCTTCTATTAATGTATGTGTTTGAGTTTAAATTTCTCTGATATTTATATTCAATTATATTTCTGAATGTATTTGTCAACATTGTAAACACTGGTTTTAACACAAGCAGAGACAAGTTTACATAGACAATTGCTTGTATGGAAAAATCTGTGAGAATTAATTCATAAGCCCTTTAATATTTCAAGTTAAATACTTTTAAGTTCTAAAATTGATTTTCTCAAATCCATTACAAGAATAATTCTCTTTATTCATAGACAGTTAAATCTTAAGACAGTAAGAGCAAATGATAAATTACAGATAGTGTTGTTGCATTCTTGTTTTTGTAATGTTGCTCTGTATTTATTCATCTATAAATTGATCTCTAAATGTCTTTAATTTGAATGTTGTGTAAAATTGTCATATTAAGGACAAACTTCAAAAGAAGTTGATATATACAATGTTCTTAACATGAATTTGATTTTTTTGGGGGGGAAATCTTGATATTGATTTTTAAATAGGATTCAAATTTTTATCACACCGTAAGAGAGCTTATTCATGTATACCTATCATAATTATATACCTACATGCACCTAAAAAAGAAAGTTCAGGTATATTGATACATATCCTGCCTGTGACCTATATTTACTGGATGATTGATCAGGTAGATGTTATTGGAGCAGGTCCAGTTGCAAATAACTAAGTCTAAATATCATAACCAGTCTTGCATAAAACTTCAATGCATGGGATGCATTCTACCAGTCAGGCAGTTAAACTTTGGATGCTGTTTGAAACCTATAATTTCTAGAAAGATGAACAAAGTGATTTTTTTCAGAGAATATGTCCCTCTTTAGATTATTAGTTTTACCTTGATCAGTCGACATGCAAATCTTAGGTTGCATACAATCAGTCATGCTTTAGTTACTGCTTGTGACCATAATTTTGCAGATGTATGATCTGAAAATTGTTACAGGAGGTTACAGACCAGAGGAAGCAATTTCAGTTCTAGGGCACAACCAAACATTTTCAATTGGGGGGGGGGGGGGGCACTACCATGCAAATATTCCTTGTTAAGGTCATCAGACATTTATTGAGGGGGCACAAGCATAAAGAAGCAATGTTTTCTAATTAGTATGCCATATACTGGCACAATTATTAGGGGGCAAACCCCCCCCCCCTCCATTTTCTACGGCCATGGATTATACATGTTTTACAAAGTACCAGTAGATATAATAATAATATTATTCTAAAATTGACTATCATTAAAAAGATAATGCGTAGGTGAAGGACCTTGATGTGGATAATGCAACTAATTTGGAAATTGACATTCTGAAATTTATAATAAATCTTATATCGACCAAACTTGCATAGATGCATGTTGTATCTGTGGAAGCGTATGTCACCAGTGATGATTTGAGATATGTACTGCATGTGACCTAGTTTTACTAGATGGATGTTTTTGAAAAAGTCCATTTCCCATGTAATTTAATATAAGCCCAAGGACCAACTTGCATTGGTGTTTACAAATGGCCATTTATATGTTTTGGATTTTGTATCAGTGTTCCTACATATTGTATAATGAAAGATCAAGGTAAAATTTTTGTGCAGCTGATCGAGGTTCTAATTTTTTACTTCTCCTTGATCACTTAATTACTGTATCATTAATATATCACCCTAATTAAAAGTCAATAATATAATTGTTTATTATTTAAATGTGAGTAGTAGAATACAATAGAATGATAATGATAATTTTTTGGTAGTTGATGCTCCTCGGGCTATAGAGCCTCGGGTTATAGCTGTCCCGGAACGCCAGCCAACCTTGGTTTCTCCACAGCCAGGTTTGTATATATGCTGATATTATATGAGACTTGAAAAAGTCAGTTATAGGTCTGAATATGGATTAATGCTTGTAATTTACAGCATAATTAGGCCATTCCAAATTTTTTCTATGTTTAGTATTCGCGGGCAGATTGGTTTTGAGGTTATGAAATTAAAAACAGTTAACACAAATTCAAATCAACAAATACAAATCTTTGAAATGCAAGTTATGCTTTTGGGATCGGCATCTTTCTTTTTTAAGTGGTGTACCAATTTTTTTTTATTTCAATAAACTAGTAGTTGAAAGATGTGAGGAGAATTCTCAAATTATGATGAGAAATTCTAGACTTGCATGTACTTAAATTATGTTTTTTCCCTTTTGGTTTGTGTGTTTTTTCTAGATAGAAAGATAGGTTAACGTTTTTTGAATTTAGGATGGAATCGCTAATTAAAACAAAGAAAAAACTTGGAATGGCCTTATTGGAATGCTACACAATAGCAGAATATTTTGAAACAAGTTAATGTGATGACTGTATACAAGTAAAACCAATTTTCATCCAGAAAATTTATAAAGTGAAGAAAAAAAAATTAATCACAGAAAAATAAGAACAGGTGAATGTCAAAAAATTGAAAATAATTCACACAATCATATGCCATTTAATAACAAACATTATATTGATTGAATATGCATGTTCGTTTTTAGTAAATGTTCAAACTATAAACATTTTATCAACAATGCAAAGAGTTTACCGGGTAAGTTCAAATTTTGTTAAAACATTCATGTTGAGATGCATGTTTCCAGTGACATAATTAGACGATATATCCAGACTGAGTATTCTTTCATAAATTGAAGCACTTTTGAATTTGAATATGTGACACGTACATTTTTGTGTACAATACTTAAATGGAAAGATTATGTTCAGTTAAATAATTAGGAAAAGAACCAATTAAGCATGCATTCTTGAGTATAAAATTTCACTTGTTAATAACTAAATGCAATGTGGACATTCAGTAATATGATAATGTTTGATAATGTTGAATACCTTTATCCTTGTTGCTTGGCAATGGATGCATTGATGTAGGGTATAAATTTGTTAAGCAAAATGGAAAGTTGGGCAATAAAATTTGATTCTCTTTCAGAGATGAATGTTATGAAGTGTAAATAGTGACATGGTACATTGCTACTCAAATGTTAATCGATCTCAAAATGTGCCATGAAAAGCAGATTGAATTGATCTATTCATAACTTTGGATGCACAGTTGATTGAAAGATGAATATAACATGGCTATGAATACAAAGAAAATTATATAAGATGCCTTATATAGATATAAAGTCTTTATTGTAAAGAAAATATTCCTCCTTTGCTTTACTGATTAAATTAAATGTCAAGTTACTTTCTTGTTAAAGTAATACTGGTAAAAAATTTAAAAAAAAAGGGAATTACTAAATTATCTATCTTTACCTCTTTTCATTTGGTATGTTACACTATCATCATGCTGATACATATGATCAGGTACCGTTACATGTAATCAGATGCTGTTACATGTAATCAGGTGCTGTTACATATGATCAGGTACAATTACATGTGATCAGGTGCTGTTACATGTAATCAGGTGCTGTTACATGTGATCAGGTAATGTTACATGTAATCAGGTGCTGTTACATGTGATCAGGTGCTGTTACATGTAATTAGGTGTTACATATGATTAGATGCTGTTACATGTAATCATTTGTAACATATGATCAGGTGCTGTTACATGTGATCAGGTGCTGTTACATGTAATCAGGTGCTGTTACATGTGATCAGGTGATGTTACATGTAATCAGGTGTTACATATGATCAGGTGCTGTTACATGTGATCAGGTGCTGTTATGTGTGATCAGGTGCTGTTACATGTAATCAGATCCTGTAACATGGAGTCAGATACATGTAATCATGTGGTATTACATGTAATAAGGTGCTGCTCCATGTAATCAGGTACATGTTATCAGGTGCTATTACATGTAATCAGGTACATGTAATCAGGTGCTGTTACTTGTAATCAGGTGCTGTTACATGTAATCAGATGCTGCTACATGTAATCAGATCAAGGGAGATCAAACTCTTGCTCACTAAAGTAGAATTTATTGTAATTTTGGCTTGAAAATTTAACATGAGATTTTTGATAAAGAACAAAATTCAAGCAATTTTTAATGTTACAATTTTTGAACAAATCTTGAAGATAAAAATTTTGTAAGGTAACAAACAAATTTCTTTAAGAGTTATCTTAATTAAGTTTTCTTTCTATGAAGAGCCATTTTTAGCTCTACTGGTCAGAGACCAGAAGAGCTTATGCGATAGTAAGGTGTCCGTCGTCCGTCCGTCTAGCTGTCTAGCTGTCTGTCCGTCTGTCTGTAAACAACGCTACTCCTCCTACAGTTTTGGTCTGATTTCAATATAACTTGGCACACAAGTAGACTACACTAAGATACATAGTTTAGTGCATCAGTTTTTGATTTCGATGAAAGGTGTTGCCATGGTTACTAAAAATAGAAATTTTTGTGAAATTCCTTTAAAAATGCTACTCCTCCTACAGTTTTGGTCTTATTTCATTGTAACTTAGCACACAAGTAGACTACACTAAGATACATAATTTAGTGCATCGTTTTTTGATTTCGATGAACTGTGTTGCCACGGTTACTAAAAATAGAAATATCTGTGAAATTCCTTTAAAACGCTACTCCTCCTACAGTTTTGGTCTGATTTCAATATAACTTGGCACACAAGTAGACTGTACAATGATACATAATTTAGTGCATTGTTTTTTTGATTTCGATGAATGGTGTTGCCATGGTTACTAAAGATAGAAATTTCTGTGAAATTCCTTTAAAACATTACTCCTCCTACAGTTTTGGTCTGGTTTCAATCTAATATGGCACACAATTAGAATACACAATGATACATAATATGTATTTCAGTTTTTGATTGCAGTGAATGGTGTTGTCATGGTTACTAAAAATAGAAATTTCTGTAAAATACTTTCAAAACACTACTCCTTCTACAGTTTTTATTTGATTTCATTATAACTTGGCACAGAAGTAGACTACATTAAGATACATACATGTAATTCTATTAATTTATTGTTGTATGTTGCAGAGTTTCAATCCAAGTGCTACTTTTCCTTTGTTATACGTACAGACCAGTAGAGCTACAGTCTCATCAGAGACTTCTGGTTCATTAAGAGAATTAACTTTTTTGAAAAACAAAATTAAGATATTGAAATAAAAAAAATATTTTTTAATTCCTTAATATCATTTCAGGAGCCAGGCGATCGGTAAAGAAAAAATCTATTCCTTTCCCAGGCCCTAGTAAGTAAAATTAAAAATGTTACATTATTTTAAATTACATGAACAAATTTGCATGTGAACATTTTGATTAAAACCCAGAGAAATTTACCGATATTTATTTTTTATGTTTCAGAAGGCCTGAGAAAGTTCCGTCATGTTGCTTACGCTGCTTGGTTTATCTCTGCACTTAAAGCACTTAGAGAAAAGGTATCTACTAACAAACTAACCATTAGGAATTGCTGTTAAAGGCCACATCTACAAAATTTTATCAGAAATTGGAAAAGAGAATATCTAATAAATTTCTGATGAGCAATGCATGAGCATGTTTGGGATGGGAGGAAGGGGATAAAATTTAGATGAGTTATTTGGAATTCTTTTCTTTTTTTCTTTTTTTTTAACTAATGTTCAATGATATCTGAGAACTATATACTACTTTTGTATCTATAATTTTAATTATGACATTTTACTATTATTTGACAAAAGAACTTGGGAGTTCTTTTTCAAGACAACGTGCAGCATATTCTGGAAACAGAGAATTAAGGAGTTACCTTATCATAGGTCAAGGTCAGAGGTCTTAAATTGTGATATTTCAAAACTTATGACATGATAACTTGATAAGTATATTTCAACCTTCCGGTGTCATGATATTACAGGTCAAGCTGAAGGTCTTGATTAAATTACCTATATGTACATAATGCAGGATCCTATTTAATTTCCTTAATAATAATTTTTAGTTGCATCTCAGATCAGTCATAATTAAGAAGTTCATATTTTATTATCATGTCATTTATTTTAGCAAAGAATAAGGTTTATTTAATATATTGCTCTGATGTCATCTATTTTTTTTTCAAATTCCCAAAGAAATGTTCTTTTTGTCCATTTAATCTAGTTATATAAAGTTTTTCTGTAATTTTCACCACTCTTCTACCATCTATTATTCTTGCGAAAAGGATACTCAGGATAAATCTGCTTCTATTACCAGTGTAGTCTTATAGATTACTGAAAACAATCCATTTCTTCCTTTTTTTCCAAGCAATCCATTATCTCCTACATCTCTTTATTTTTATTTTAATATTGTAAACAGTTTCTTTGCTATACCGCTAGTCCGCATTTCAGACGAAGTCAGAGGTTTGTGTGCTGTGTTGTAATTTCCTGTTATTTTAATGATTAATTAGCAATAACTAACAAGTTAACACTGTTATTTTATCCTTTAGCAATAACAAAAAAATTAACACTGTTATTTTATCATGAAACAGTTACTAACAAATTGACACTTATGTATTTTTTCTCTATGACATTTAGCAGTAACTAACAAATTTAAACATTGATAGTGTATGTGCACTTTTGTATAATATAATCATAATCTTCATTTGATATATTGTAAATAACTCACAATTCTCTACGCTTCCAAATTGTTATTACTAACTTTACTAACATTTTTGTCGGCTCAATCACCTGAGTCAAAAGGACCTTGCAGGTTTTGTGATCAAAAATTGTTGAGTTTTGTCTATTTTATATTTTTGAAATTCTAAAGAAGCATTCTAAAGATACTCTTTTTTCCTCACTTTTTTGAAACTGTTTCATGCCATTAGTTCCAAAATTGGAAAACATTCATATTTGATAGAAGCGTCCATACCTCACGTCAAAAAGAACATGGTACATGTAACTAAGGATGGTAGCTAGGGCATAACAAGTTTATGACTTTTTTCAACTTTTGCATGTGAAATAATTTTGAAAAGGAGATACTTTGAAATTAGCATAATCTCAGCTGTTTAATTATGTAATTAGCATTGCATTGGTGAGAGTATCACTCAATTGAGGATTAAGAAGTGCTTCCTCATCAAGTGTGCTCTTGATTTAATTCAGAGCAAAGGTTTACTAATCTGAATAATAAAATTATGGTTTGGAATTTGTTATAAAAAAAAATTAGCATGTGACTGACGAAGGTGAGCATAAGGGCACATGGGCCACTTGTTCAAGTTGAGATCATTTTATGAATTAACCTAATTAACAGTAATTTAAATTAAAATCGACATTAAATCAAATCTGATCAAGATAATAAATTAAGTAAAAATTGTTTACTTTTTATTTCATTGTTTTAAAAGATATTTTTATATTCAGTAAATAAGAAATTGGGAAAAAAGTTATTTTTAGTCATTCTTTACGTCACAATTAATTTGTAGATTTATTTGCAGATTATTGTTAAAAAATTAAATAAATTCTGCTGTATGATTAAATTCTTACTTTGATTTTTTAATTAAATAAAAATTTTGTTGATCTTACAGAATGCAGGAAGCCGACCCAGTAGTGTATTTTTATTTGGAATAATCTTAAAAGAAATAGTCGCAGCACTTCACAGAATATACCTCAATGTAAGTAAAATTAGTTTATCCATACCCTTCATCAATCTACATCATTGTCAACAAGGCAAGGAATTTAAAAAAAAAAACCCATCCCCCTTCATCTTTGAAGTGAAAGAATATCTCCACTCCCTCATTTTAGGAGTAGAAAGATTAATACATGTACATGTGTAAATGACTATTTTTACAGTTTAATTACCTTGTGGGAAGAAAAAAACATGTTTTGATGTTATTGAATTGATAGCACTTACACAAATGCTTGAATGAACAAGTTGCAAAATTGATTGTAGCTATTTAGAACTTGTCTTGGGATTTTTTTTTTGGGGGGGGGGGGGATTGGGTGTTGAACAGTAAAATTGTGTAAAATTGTAATTAAGTTATTGTTTAAAAAAAAAAACAAACTATTTTTTTCAGCCTAGTGGAAATATTTACCCAGTCCTCGCAGATGCAATAAACCCTAAGGCCTATGATCTGTCAAACCTAGTGAGGGGGAGGACTGGGGAACGGGAGGGACAGACAATGATTCAGGAATTACAGTATATAGTGGAGAACCTGATCTACCACATCACAGAAATCATGGTAAGTGGGTTACCACATTTCAGAGATAATTGTATTTATAGTGAGTAGTTTACCACTTTACAGAAATCATGGAAAGTGGTTTACCACTTTACAGAAATAATGGTAAGTGGTTTACCATTTCACAGAAATAATGGTAAGTGGTTTACCACTTTACAGAAATCATGGTTAGTGGTTTACCACTTTACAAAAATCATGGTAAGTGGTTTACCACATCCCAGAAATAATGATAAGTGGTTTATAATTTCACAGAAATAACAGTTAGTGGCATTTGACACTAGCTATTCACTTGGTCATGTGATTTGCACTTTTGCATCATTTAGGATGTACACAATAAAATTTAGTGAAGCTTACTTAATGAAGTTAAGTTCTAATCATACATTTGTAATGAAATTTACTGAAAATTGTTTAGAGACATTCATTTATGTATTTACAGCCCAGCACTGGTGTCTTAGGAACTCATAGAAAATCAGCTGTGTATGAACTTATCAAAAATGGAAAGAGGTTTCCTGATGGTTATTTCTGGCAAGTAGAACTGGTAAGTTAAGGTGAGGTTTGTCTTTGTTGATCCCGATGTACATCAAAAGCAAACAAAATTTACTCTCCAAGAAACTCCGACTTGGTAAATAACTGTGGAACAAAATATCAAGATAATTAAGTTTATTTTTTTGTGTTGCCTGGAGAGAATGGTGGGCAATTGTAGGAATTATCCATCATCTGTTGGATTCACAAATATACCTGCAAAACGAGGTGCCCGTTTGCTTCTTGTACAGCTCTAAGTTCACAAATACTGTACGTGTACATAAATTGGTGCATTCAAAATTTAGCGCACTCAAGGGGTATGGAGTTGTTAGCGTAATCATGAATTAGCGCTACACATGTCCCTGCCGTGTATTGTATTAGTAAAAGATTTCTTAGCGGTATTCATGAATTAGCGCATCGTTGTCTGTGCCAAAGCCGCTAAAATATGAAGCCCACTTTTTTAAGTACACATACAGTATTCCAGCAGACAATACATGTATTCATTTGAATCCATAAGTTGCCTACAAAATTGCACACAATATGATAGGATAAACTGGTGTATATGTATACAGTATACTTGCTAAAAATGCATGAACACTTTACTGCACCTCAGATAATTAATTGCAGGACAGAATCCAGTTTACGGAGAATGGCAGAACCACAAACATTGGAGATCCCGAGGCCTTTATGTTAATCATAGGGATATTTATATCCAGAAGTCTGATTACAACGCTACTAATGAAACCCGTAGATTACGGTTTGTCCAATCAGCAGTTGTCCGATGTTGCTGAGCGTAATCTCAAGGTCATCGCTACGACGATGCTTTACCTTGTGCGACGAGTGTCGGTATCCAGAGGAAGAGCTATGATGGTGAATGTTTTTCTTGTTTCTGTAGAAACCATATTCAAATTAATACGTATTTTGATCAACTGTTAATGAAAATTTTAATTGAGGTTTGATCTTGGACTTTATTTAGAGTATGCCAGGAGAGATTGCGAAGTATCTGTACTCAGATGAGGAAATGAGACCAATTTACAGCAGAATTGCTAAGTCTTTCAATTATGCAGAGGTAAAACTGATCGCCAATATTTCTTTAATATAATGTATGGTAAATCACTGACGTATTGCATGTTTTATTATCCCAAAACAGTATTGGCAAGATCTATGAAATAAGATCAACAAAAATATAAAACAAATTCCACAATACCTGCTTGATATTCATTATTTAGGGAAAAAAATGTGCTAATTAAATCATAATACATATATTACTTGTTGAATTAAGTCCTATGTAAAATATCATTGTTTTACAGGGCCTTTTGAGGGAATGGGGTCAGGAGTACATCAAAAGACTCAGGAATGCACCCACTCTCAAGAACTGAGAGAAATTAATTGGAAAAATAACCCCACAAATTTCTTTGTGCCACTTCAAGGGAGATAATGCAATAACTCTTAAGAAAAAAGACAACTAATTTTATAGAGCTAATGCATTTTTCTTTTGCATATATATTGGGAAAGTGCCAATTTCGCTTGCACCTACAACATGAGCAAAATATGTTACAGTGCATGGATTAAACAACAAACTCGAAATGCAGTTTCCTTATTCAGTCTTCTTGCTCCATTAATTAGAAAGAAAAAAAAATAGAATTGTATCAGCTGAAAGAGCAGAAAAATGAAATTTACAGGCTTCAGTATGCATAACATCAAGGAAGCACAACTTTTGAAATTGATAATTTTAGAGATTTATACCAAAAAAATTACTGTTTTTACTAATTTATATGTGGATCAACATAACACACTATCAAAATATGGAAATTCCTGCAGGATTCCACAATGTGTTTAATAATTTGAACACGCATGCACATACTGAATTTGTTCACTAGAAAGCTATTCCAATAAATTTTGGGATAGACTTTCCTCAAGTTTTTAGGGAATACGTGGCTCTGTATCATCAACATACATCTTCACATTTGCATATGTACTGGCTAATGTGACCAATTCTCTAACACATAATTTTTCCTTTGTGTTTTACAAAAATTGCTTAAATATCTGAAGAAAAACCACATTCACTGTGCAATTTTTCTTGTAAAATACTTTAATATTTTGCTCATAGGCAAAATGGTTGGTTAATTCTAAATAACAAATGCAGATCATTTTCCTTAACATCTTATTTAGAGTTGAAACAGCTCACATGGTAAATAAAAATTAAATAAAAATATCAAGACTCGGTAGAAACTTATTGAAAAAGAGTTTTCAGACATAGTGAAGCAAGATAAAAGTTGCCAAAAGTTAAAGCAACGTCTTGTAGCTACTTGTTCATGATGCAGAATAAATATTTCTGGAAAACTTGGCTTCTGTTGAGTAGTTGGGTGGACTGCCAAAAACATGGTGACATCTGAGAATTGGTAATTAGACAGTATCACTGGTAAGAGTATACAAATTGGTTACAAAGGAAAAACTGCATGTGATTTTTAATCTTTAAATAAGTGTTTGTGTATCTCTTCTAAAATTCTTTTTAATTGATCCTATAATGTTCAATTTTTTTTCACTTCAAACTAAAGCCTGGTCAAGATTTTCAGAATAACCAGAAATAAAATATTTTAAATCGATTCACTAATAAAACATTGGAATCTTGCCATATGTTCTGTGAATATTATACTAACAGGTACCTGCATGTTAAATGCATTTTGTTGGTATAAATCGCTAATGTAATAGTATAAATTGCCAATGTAATAGTTTTTGTTTTGTAACTATTTAATATTTTGTCATTTATTTTGTTAACCTCATGTCATTTAATTTGAATTATGTACCAAAGCATCTGTGATAAGTTTGTGTTTTCTTGTAAATATCTTGTATCCCTTTGTTGTTAGTAAATTGTTAGTTATTTATTGAAATAAAGTACAGAAATTAAATCTGAGCAAGCAGTTTTCTGCTTTATTTAATTTTTAAAGTCCAATTCTACGAGGGTCCTTCAAAAAATATGTAGACAATATCGCTCTTCATGATATTATTTTATGATCAACACATTTTCAAATGCAAAAACATTTATTTTGTCATTGTGTGAAGTTTCATCCCATTAGATTAAATGGAACTCGTGTTACTAAATTTTAAATTCAATATGTTTTGTCACCATGGAGCACTCTTAACTACATTGTAACGTCGAAAACGATGTCGTGAAAGTTACAATTATACTCTCCCTCAGCATTTCTCACATGGTTTGTAGCACCTCATTAACTCATTAAAAAGGTCTCAATAATTCTTGACACATAGTATTCTAACAATTGTTCGAGTAGCATAAATTAGTGAGTGTTTTCAAATTCTTTACTGCATAACTCTGCTTTTGTAAGTTCCACAACAATGAAGCCGCATATCACTTTCCATGGAGTTTCTAAGTCTTCTGACCAGATTTTTTTAATGAAAGTCCATTTCCTCACAGACTATGCCTCATCCAATTCAAAGTTTCCACCACTCAAACACTGTCTTTATCATTAATACACAAAGTTCAATTCACTTCTGATATAGTTCCTGGTTTCTCCAGCATTTTCAGAGTTTGTTTAGAGGTTTCTCGGATGCGAAAATTTTTTATCGTTACTCGCTGCTCCATGATGTCCTTTATCATCACATTTTTTCGCTTTTTTCAAAGAGGACTACCTGTCTTCTGAAATTGATTTCTCTCTAATGAAGCAATATATTGCACTGCAATTTGGTACTTCAAATCATAAAACAAAAGTATATTTGAATTTTATTTATAGTTTAAGCATCATTTGTGAAAAGACATAACTCAAGACATAATTAGGTGTTTTATCAGAGATTTACTCAATTTCGACCGTGCTCCGTAACTCTATTTTCGAAGTTTTAAATTTTAAATAATTTGGATATTTATCATGGTGTAGTTGAATTTTTAGCTCTTCTGAGCCAAAGGCTCAAAGAGCTAATGCTATGGCCATTTGTGCGGACTGTGCGTAAACTTTTTAGAATATGGACCATGACTCAAGAATCCCTTGGCCAATTATTGTCAAATTTGTGACAGGGTATTCTTGGCCCAAGGGCTCCCGTTTATACAAAACTAGGGTTGTGACCCTTAAACAAGGGGAGATAATTAGGAAAATAGAAACAAAAGTACTGATTGCTAAAAAATCTTCTCCTCAAGAACCACTGGGCAGATTATCACCAAACTTACACAAAAGGATGAGGATATGTTGTAGATTAAAATTTGCACGGGGATTAACCCTGGGGCAAAGGGCGTGGTCTCAAGGTCACTTCAAAGTTGACCAAAAATTAAATTTTATTAAAATGTTGATATTTTGCTTATTATAAGGACTAGGATCATCAAATCTTGTCATTTGATGCATCTAAGAACCTCATATCATGCTGACTCAAAAGTAAGTCACGGTGACCTACTTTTTAAATTTTGTGACCATTCTTTTTCAAAATGATTTAGAGGCATATTTTGAACAATTTAAGGCCTATGATCGTCAAACTTTGTCAGTTGATGTATATCAGGTCCTCGGAGTGCGTCGACTAAAAAGTAGGTCACCTTGACCTACATTTTGAATTTTATGGCTAATCTTTTTCAAAACAATTAAGGTCATTAATTCCATTCCATTTCAAAGCATTTTAGAGGCATAATTTGGACATTTTTTGGCCTATGATCATAAAACTTTGTAAGTTGATGCATCTTGGGTCCTCAAAAAACGTCAACTGAAAAGTAGGTCACCGTGACCTACTTTTCAATTTATATGACTATAATTCAATATTTCAGGTACTAATTGGCTAAGAATCATCAAACTTTGTCAGTTGATGTATCTTGGGTCTTCGGGGTAGGTCGACTGAAAAATAGGTCACCATGACCTACTTTTGAAAATGTATGGCTTTAATTAAATATTTCAGGTAATAATTGGCTTAGAATCATCAAACTTTGTCAGTTGATGCATCTTGGGTCCTTGGAGTATGACAACTGAAAAGGAGGTCACAGTGACCTATTTTTGAAATTTTATGGCTTTATTTAAATATATCAAGTACTTATTGGCTTAGAATCATCAAACTTTGTCAGTTGATGCATTTTGGGTCCTCAAAGTATGTCATCTGAAAAGTAGGTCACTGTGACCTACTTTTGAAATTTTATGGTTATAATTTTAAAAACATTTTAGGTATTAATTGGCTTAGAATCATCAAACTTAGTTGATGCATCTTGGGTCCTCAGAGAATGACAAGTGATAAGTAGGTCACCATGACCAACTCTCAGGTACTAATTGGCTTAGAATCATCTTTGGTTCTTGGAGTGTTTCATCTAAAATGTAGGTCAAGATGACCTATCTTTGGAATTTCAAGGCTTTATCTAAATATACGGATACTTATAGGCTTCTAATAAAAGTGATAGATTTTACAGTTTATCAGAAGAGTGATTCAAGGCCCTTGGGCCTCTTGTTTAATTCAAATTACTTGGATTTATTGTCAAGGTATGTCTACCAAATTTGATTATGACGTTAAAACAAATGTTATGACAAAAGTCTACAAACTTTTTGAATGACCCTCGTATTTATAGGAATATACAGGAAACATCTTTCAAAGATACTCTGTAGAGGTTTTAACTTCACACATGTATTATTTTGCTTATTTTCCTTGTAGGATATCTAATGCACATGTTTGAATTCATTCAAATGGAATGCATTCATTCAAATGGAATGTTTGTTTTCAAAGAAAAACATGATTTTATACATACAATATGCTCCAAGTTCCTTGAATTCTCTATTGATTGTGAATATTAAAAACTAAGAGTTATTTCCTCATACACAGAATACTTTGACAGTACATAAATATATGCCCTCAGAATTTAGTGCAATCTTTCTCATCAATTGATTAGCATAACAATTTGTGTATTTGGAGCCAAGCCTCTACATGTTAAACTAGAGGAACTATGAGCACTGAGCTCACAAAATGATACCCCCGCCTGCCATATGTTTATATTGTTTGTATGTTGTTTAGCGTCCCTCTCGAGAATTTTTCACTCATATGGAGACGCCACCACTCCATTGAGCAGTGAGGGATCTTTTTGTGCCAGCACCTACTGTGACATGGGACCTTGGTCTATACGGTCTCATCTGAAGGACCGGTCTCCACGTCCTACAGTGGGATCGAACTCGCAACGTAAGGATCAACTCCTTATTCAATGACTCTAGAGCAGAGGCTCTAACCACTGTGCCACTCGGGCAACCCATATGTTTATAATGGCAAAGTTCATGTTTTGTTATGGGAGATCTGAAATGAGTGTCTGATCAAAAAGTAAAACTGGAAGTGCACAATGGCACTATGTAATAAAGATTCTGTGAAAGTATCATTAAATCTTATTCAGTGGTATAGGAGGAGTTGAGGATAAGAGATGGGTACCACTCAATACTATAGAAAGAATGGCAGTGTTCTAGGTTGTGCTATTGGAAACCCAAAATGTGTCCAATCAAAAAGTAAAATATGAGGTGCACAATGGCACTATGTAACAAAGATTCTGGAAAATATTAAATTTTAATCAGTGGTATAAGAGGAGTTGTGGATAAGAGATGTGTACCCCAATGTGTAACAAATGGACGTACAGCTAGACGGACGGACACCCCCATCACTATACACCCACCACTTTTCAAGTGGGGGGAATAATAATAATAATGAAGTAAAAAAAAATCCATTAAAACACTAAGCTTCACTTTCTCATCTTAATGGAAGGTTATCTATTGGGAAGATCACTATATTTTTAGGAAAAAAAGAGGCCTCTTTAGAGGGTCAATATTGATCCTTTGTCAGCTAGGAGACCAAAGTAAAAGTACCCATAATACTATGTGCGGTTCAATGAAAGCATTTTTTTTTTCAAATTAGGCCAAGTAACAGTTTAAATTTATAATTGAGAGTATTAAATTTTAAATCCCCTGGAAAAACAAAAACACAACACAGTATCTCATTCAACTTAAATATATTTCCATCAAAACTTGAAAGAAGGAAAAATAAACAACAAATGTAAGGTATGATCAAATGAACATAAACTGTTGCTATAAATATAACTGATTCAATGACACTGCCACATGTTTTAAATAACAAATACATGGAGAATGTAAAATAAAAAGGCATTAACAGAGAAACCCATGATAAATTACTAGTCTGGTGTCAGACTTTTGTAGTTTTGATTTCTATATACTACTTGTTAGGCACAGACTCTTCAACATAATGGTGGCCACAGTTAACCTTATTCCTGAAAGAACATGATGTACCTTTGGTTCATGATTACCTAACAAAATTACTTTTAAGACATAAGTTAAGCTTATTAATCCTTTTCTCATAATGGAACAACAAGGAATTTTGATTCAAAGTACACTGAAACTGAAAAGAAAGGGAAACAATTATCACTGCATTAATAAACATATGATTTTTCTACACTGGTTTATACATGTAGATGCAAAAAAAAAAAAAAAAAAACCCACCCTCGATTCAAATCAATGATAAAAGATTCACAAATCTTGCTAAAATCAAAGCAGTGTGTAAAATTTACATGTAGATAATTTAAAGATGTTTGATGTTAATTTATGGATTCAACTTTTAAAATGTTGTCTTCAAAACAGAAAAATTCAGTTCTCAAGCTTTATGAATGTTGAATGGCTTATCACTCTGAATTCAGTGCAAAAATTAAGTACAAAACATTGAGATCAGAAGGCCTTCATTTTTTGCATTGAAAAAGAAAAGTTTTATAAAATGAGCTTGCAAAATATGATAAGCATAAAATAGCCACAAATAAGAAAGATATTGCACATTACCACAGACAATTTCTTAGATTGTGATAAAACTGGAATGTCCCAAAATAATTTTGTTTGTTCATGATAGATTATAGAGATATGAGGTAACATGAAAGATTCATTGTCAAATTTACAAAAACATAATTGTCTAATAATCTTTGAAGTTATGAAAAGCTTGTGGAGAAAATTCAATACACTTATATATGATGTGTATGCTTATACAGGGTGTATACATACAAAGGGAATGGCAAAATATGATTAAGAATGACTAGATAAAATGTTTTCTTCTCAAACCATTTCTTATCCTTATTAAAAAAAAGCCAAACATACTAAAAGCTAATTTTCACCACGCATATTCCTCTAATGAAAAGTACATAAAAGGATGATAAACAAAGCATCAGAATGAAATTATTTTGCTTTACAGGAGGTAATTTGATCAGCAGAATGTATGTCTAATGCAAAAAGTGTGTGAAAAGTAAGCAGATACAACTGCAATGTATGTCTAACGCAAAAAGTGTGTGAAATGTAAGCAGATATTCCTGTAATGCATGTCTTTATACATACATACCAAAAAAATTGTAATGAAAATTTGAACAAGTAACAAGCATTCTATGCAAAGCACATTTTTTCACCTTTACATTTTTTTGTATTCCAGTCATTAAAATTCATCTTATATATCTAACTATCAACATTTGATTAATAAATATTTGTTAAATTTCACCAAATACATGCACAATACAAGTATGGTAAATCTCAACTCAACAACAAATCTGGGTTATCATAGCACAACATAAAAGTAACAATATATGTTTTAAATACAATGTCTGCACATAAATGTACATGTACTGAAGTTTTACAACAACAAAATATCCAGTTGTAGATTTATCATGATACACAATTGAATAATTTTTTTTTCATGAAGTGTAGAGACCGGGATATGTCTTATATGGCAGAAGTACATGTATTGCTACAATTAGATAACTAATTAATTACTGATTAATTACTGATTAAAAATGGATTTGCAAGATGATCAATATCACAACAAAACAAACACTCAACACCATGTACATATGATATAGCATGCATTGCACGAAACTGGTAATACCCATGTTCAGAAAACAATGAACAATACTTGATGTTTTCATGAATAAAAAAGGTTACAACAAAGCAAGTATAAAATTTAAATATCAAATAAAATTAATGTAAAAAAAAAAATATGAAGATATAGTGCATGAATATCACACATTCCAAATAAAAAAATGCTATTACTCTCCTATCTTTAAAATCAATAACCATGCTTGTAAACATGAGGCAAAATATCTATAAACAAACTTTTAAATTTTTACAAAGTTTAACAAATTAACGCTCTTTCTCATTCACTCATCAATGACATGACTGATTGGTGTCTAAATAAGTTTTTTTTTTTACCATCAGTAGAAAACCTACTGATGTACCAGGGTTATTTTTTCAGCTGTGGTGACTCAGTTTTGATCACTTTTGGAATAATGGTGTAGATCTTCTGGTTATTTCCGGTCAGCACCGGATGGTTTAGAGTTATGGTGGTGGGTTGTGGCACAGAGGCCGGTTGCCCAACAATCTGAGTGGTGATCAAGCCTGAGTCCACTGTCTTGACTATAGCCCCTGGTATAAGTCCTGCACTGGTCAGTGACTCTATCAGTTCCTTGGGGGCAGTGGAGGTGGCTCCTGTTAGCTCTGTCACGTTATGGGCCACAGAGGTTGCTTGGGTAGCTGTGACTACCTGATCTGTCAATGCTACTGTAACAGAAATATGATTAACTTAATGTACAATCACTCACGTCTGCTTTTCATGAGATTCTATAGACAATTTTTTGTTGGTTTTTGATTGGTACTAAATGGTATTAACTGGTTCATCTTTCAGATTTTAAACTAAAATGTGACCTCACCAAGCAGACATGAACTTTTCTTTAAAACCCTGCCTTGAAACCAGCATGCATACTTTTTTTCTTTGGAGGCAGAGCCATTAGTACTTACAAGACAATGGGAGTTGTCCTTGTGATCTTTGCTGCACTGTCACTGGACAATCTTTGTGTGCCAGGAGCAAGGTCTTCAACTGTGCTACTTCAGCTCGCAGCGAATTGACTTCACTCTGAAAGTAATAATTTCATTAAAGATCTACTAAGCAGTAGATATAGATGTAGATGGACAATATAGTTGGAATGTCACTTCCTCCATCCTAGAAATTTTAGAACTACAGTGATTCAGTTTATTCTATTGGAAACTGGCTTTCAAACTCAGCAACATTTTAAAATCTTAAATGTCCTATCGATTTCAACTCTCCCTTTAGATATCCTTATATCTTTCTAGTTACTTGTAACTGAAAACTTAAGTGATCCATTTCCATCTAAGTGATCCATTTCTTTTGCAAATGTACACTGATACACAAATGGGAGCCTGCTTACCTGAAGTTTGTTGTTTGTAGTCTGGAGCTCATCTCCCTTTTTCTCCAGATTGGTGATCCAGTTCTTTCTCTTCTGTCGACAGCGAGCAGCCGCGGCACGATTTCTCTCCAGAAACTTCTTTCTCCTGTCATCTCCATCATCATCGTCTGTTCTTGGTCGCTTACTGTCAAAATACATATGTATTCAATAAACTTGTAGACTGAATTACAAAATTGTTCATAACTCTTAATTTTTTCAAATGAGACATGTTTACTGATTAATTAAAGGACAAGAGCATGCCACGAACAGGAGTCACCTTCAATCAGTTAAATATACTTGTGAAAGTGAGACTCTTCTCACACAGAAGGATGGACTAAGAGACAATGAACAAAGTAATCCCCAGATGTTTTACTGCTTCTCTTATAATACAACAATAATCTACAGATTCAGAATACTAATGGCATTAATTTTGGCAATACTCTTCAAACCACATTCTTTTTTTTTAATAAATTCACTTCTTTTGGTACTATAGATGTTCTTTTTTTCCACATGGGATTAAATCTGCTGAAATTTGTCTCAGCATACTTAAGGTGCATTTAAGACAAACAATAGCAATCCAAGAAATCCGCATAACTTCCTGCCTGTGGATTGCACATAAATTTACGGTACATGTATTTGATATCAAAAACAAGAAGACTTTCTTTTTTTCGACTCATTCAAAAATTTTGAACATAAAATAAAATAGGAATGCTTTTGTAAAATTCAGACAAAATAGCCAAGGCTTACATGTTAACAGTGGAATCTGCTGCCCCAGGCGAGGGCAATTCTGATTTAATGCTGTCAAAGGACTGCGGTGAAATGGCCTCAACGCCAGAGATATTTGGAATCCCTGGTGTAACCTCTGGAGATATCTGTAAGCTGATGGGAGGGGTTGACTGTCTGACCCCCGGGGATATCTGGATTGTGGTATATCCCTGTGGGGAGTGCTTGGTGACTGGAGAGGGAATAGTCTGTGACTGGATTGCTGCTTTTAATCTCTGTTAAATATTGAATGAACATCATTATCTATGATGGCTTTAAAAAACAAACATTTCACAGGGTGTTCTAACCAACAACAGAAATCTCTATTAAGGTTTATAATCCCTCAGTTCATTCGCATAAAATGTTGCTTTAATGCTTATAATTTTCCAAAAGAAATGTGTTTCATAAGTTAAATGCAAACAATTTTAACATAGCCTGGGCAATACTGACAAAAAATACATTTTAACTTGACAAATTTATAAAGGAATAATAGAAATTTATCCCATTAAGAGTTATCTCTTATCAGAGTATTAATAAACCTCAAATTGTAGTCATATAATTGGTCAAAAAAAAAAAGTGAATTTATTCTATACCAAAACATTTGTTTGTAAAATTTGTGTCTTTTTCTCTGAGCAAAGGTTTAAGAGATTCTCATGGTTCTATGTTAATACATGTATTTGATTCCCTTAACTAGTTGGTCCTACCCCCCCCCCCCCCCCCCCCCAAAAAAATCTCTGGACAGCCTGCAATGTATTATGAGTGAGTTTTCTGTATGATACCTGTTTGGTGAGGTTGGACTGGGACTGTGCTGATGCCACTGTCTGAGCTGGCAATATAACAGTCTGAGGTTGTATAGCTGTGTTTATGGCTGCCTGTTCCACTCGGCTGGTCATTATGCTTGGTTGAACAACCTGGAATCCTCCAGGGGTGTTGGCTGGTATTTGAACGGGGACTGTCTGGCCATTGGGGAGCTGTAGGAAGACCTGCATGGTGTTCTGGGGTGGGGTTGATATGGTTGGTGCCTGCACCTCAGAGGAACGTGGACTGTAATTAAAACCTCATTTTATTCAATAAATATCTAACAACTGAAAGGGATTGGATGGGAGGCTGAGCAGATATGAGCCAATTTTCTCCTATTTTTTCCACATTTAAACCAAAGATAGATTGTAAACAGAGAATGTGTAGTACATCCAGTCTGAATGGAAGTATAATTTTGTAATAACTTCTTTAAATCATGACAAATATTTTTAAGTATTCTTAATGCCAGTTAATAAAATATTCTTACACAGAAATAATATATGTATGTACCATTTTAAAATATTTTTTTTAAATCCATTATTTTGCAATAAGAAAGAGAATCCTACACTTACAATAAGGGTAGCATTAACAATACCTAAATTATGGAAATAATATTCAAGGAACTGGTCACACAAGCAATAAACAAATCAATTCACTTACGGAGATACAGTGGTAGACTGAGCGGCTGTGACTAACGTAAAACTGCGACTCGAGGGAACGGAACTTTCAGCCTCCATCTGACTGGGAATGTTCAGAACTGTGGGAACCAGTTTACTGATTTTCTCCTTGGACGCCCCTGATGATATTATCACAACATCGTCATCTGACACGGTGGTAGATGTTGGTCCGGTTGACACCCTCTCTCTCTTCAGTCTATTTAGCACTAGAGAGGTCAGATCTGTTTTTGTAGACGTTTCACATGATTTATTTTTATCACTGGATAGATCCTCCACTGTACGGGGGATGGGAGGGACTGGGGTGTTGAGCTCATTGGAGTCTGGACCTGGGAGGACAGCAGCACTAGAGGTCTACAACACACAAACATACAGTTAAACACAGGTACAGGGATCAAAGTTTATAATGAAGTCAAGCTTATATATGAATACCAAAGTGATTTTCATTCCTTGCAGTTTTAAAATGTATTTTGAACTTGGATATAAAGAATTATGAACTTGGTCAAGTAGATATAACCCATTATGTTTATAACGAAACAAAATTGTTCCTCATAGTAAGTCGTCACTTATGGTAAGTCAATAAATCTCATAAGAGGACAAGTCAATAAATCTCATAAGAGGACAAGTCAATAAATCTCATAAGAGGACAAGTCAATAAATCTCATAAGAGGACAAGTCAATAAATCTCATAAGCAGACAACTTTAATATAACTTTAATTGTAGCTCTGTATTTTATCCTGTAGAAACTTAATCCGTTAAGTGCATAATGTGATGTCAAACCTCAAATTGTCTAACCACAATTGCTAAAAAATTTTTAAAAAATATTCCATCCTGTTAAGATCTTTGGGAAAGCATACTGCCCTTTTTCTTTCAACAAGTTTTTTTTCCATTTAACATATTCTGACCAACAAATCAGAAAAAAAATCAATTTTTAACAAAAGAATCAAAGAATTTGAAGTCAATATACAGAGAAATTTACAGTATAAACAATATCATGCCTTTGACTTTTGTGCATGCTGAGCATACAGAAAATATTGACATTTGAATTTAAAGTTTGAGCAATTTTTGACATACTCTAAGTAAAGAGAAAAAGTATTTGAATATTGGTCAAGAACCAGTACAGCTTGAAGATGTAGCTTGCTTTGAAACACCTACATCAGTTTGAGGTTCCGTATCCAATGCCTTTTTAAATGCCTCCTCAAATGGATTTTTTAGTTCATTAAACAACCCTATCTCTTCGCAGTTCTTCAGGAATTTTGTTGGTGTGGGGGTTTGATCTGAAATTTTTAAACATTCAGTTACACAAATGGCAACTGGCAGATACATTCTGAAACTGCTACATTTTCTTTTCTGACTTTTCCTTTCTTTTTTAAATAAATAATTACATGCACCATTGAGTAAATAATTATATTGAAATTGTCAAAAAAAGATAAACATGTACTTAATATGATCTTCTTAAAAAAAAATATCATTTTCATACAATCTCTTTCTTATTTGTAAATACATACTACTGGTAGTATCTTAAAAATAATATTATTAATATCTTGATGTAGGAAATATAAGTAAAATATTTATATCTAACAGCCAGATTTAATACTTACCTAAAAATAGACCTGGAGGCATAAGACCAGAGAGTGGTGACCTTCCCGAGCCTGGGGTAAGGCCTGTACCCATGTTCAGGGCTAAAGACATCTCATGTTTCCTCATGTGAACAGCAAGATGGTCTTCATTAGTGAATTTCTGATCAAACATATAAAAGGCATAAGTTTAAGACCATGCATTAAATGACATCTCATCGTTATTTTTTTTTGTTCAAGCATAAATATACAAACTTCTTCCAATTGTTTTAAATTTGTTTGTGTTGCATTCTTATTGAATTGATAAAAAAACAATTTTCAAAAAAGAAAAAACATATTTGAGTACATAATGAAAATCTCTCCTTTCTCTTATCTATTTGAAAAATAATGTTGTAAAGCTTGGACAAATTAATTTCTGTCTCACCCAATACTAAGAAGAACATGAGTAAATCCTCCATCTACACATCATGTGAATTCTCCCAGATTAAATTACTCATCACTGACAGATCTCCCCCCCCCCCCCATTATTTAAGATGATTAACCAATAGGCCTTTTTTTAAATACTGCTTATTGGACAAAAATTTAGTAAACTAGATTCGTCACTAGAGTGTTCCAAGGAATGCTTGTGTCACTTGCTTTTTTTCTTTTCTGTTTACAAATTAACGTTTAAGTTCATGCAAAAAAAAAAAATAAATAAATAAAAAAATAAATAATCATGGATAGCAGGACTTTGATAGAACTGCATTTTATATAAAAATGTGACAATCAACTCGTAAGAATTACAATCCCTCAATTTCCAAAGCTAAAATAAATAATTAAATTGAAATATTTATTTATTCATTCATAAATACAATGAAAACTGTCTAATCAAACACCTGTGCAATCCATTTCACTGTAAATTCTGACCTTTCATTCCCCCTTTACCCATTTTCAATATTCTTCACACTGTGCAATCTAAACACCCTGTCTTTTCTGACTCAAAATTTGTCTCCCAGTGCATGTCAGATTAGACAGGTTTCACTGTACCTGTTAATTTTTCCTGCAATTGTCAGCCCACATACAAAACTAAGTTGATATTCCAATCCCAATTTCTTCTCATACAACTAAAGGAATTCACTTTTCTTTAAGATTGTGCAGTAAATGTATATCATATAGTTTTGAATGGAGAGTGTCATGAGGTCAAGTCATATATAATCTAGTACATGTATACTCTATCTTAAATTGTCAGCCCATTTTTTTTAAGCCAGTATTTCAAGCAACTAACAAAATTCATTTGTGTGGTAAATGTTTATCGTATATTTAAAAAAAAAAGGGGTCACAAGGTCATAAACATGTAATAAAACGTGTAATATATATGCCTTTTATTGAAGCACAGCTTCTAAAACTTCGAAAGACATGTTACATTAATGGTTCAGAGTAGTCTTGCAAAGTAGGTCAAAGGTCAAGGTTGTAATGCTGGTACATTATTGATTCAGAGTAGTCTTGCAAAGTAGGTCAAAGGTCAAGGTTGTAATGCTGGTACATGTATTTTTCAAATTTCTTACTACAAGCAGAGCACATGGTAAATAGCAGACTTACCTCTCAAAGGTCAAAGAAAATGTGTATATCTTTTGAAAAGAAGGCTTAAGGTCAAGGTCAAAGATCATGAGGTGAGTATCCATAGTAATTTACAGAGGCCATTGTTCCAAGCAATACATGGACTGTAACACTGGTATTTTTCAAAATTTCTTACTACAATGGTACGTATGGTAATGGCTTTATTGGTGCAATGAAGCCACTGTTCCAAGGAATATGTGAACAAAACATCAAATCCCCACCTCTAACCATTCCCAAGATAAAGAGTGAGACAGACACACAGACAGATTCCATGCAAAGTGATCCCCCGAGTGTCACTTTGTTCTGCATGCAACAGAAAAAAATACATCTGGCTCAGTGGTTCCATATAATAATTTTTTAAATGACTAAACATCACCACTTCCCCATCATTCAACCAATTCTGTTATCCTATAAAGCTTTGGGTCATATTTGGTTGACAAGAGGGTTAATTAGCAATTTGACAAGTTGCACACTCTTATAATTCAAGATGAAATAAATGAAAAGCTATTTTATCCTTATTCAGATAAACAAATTTTTCAAATGTCTAAAAAGTTGAAGTTTGATATCTTGAACATTGATATTCGAATACTATATGGATATCTTGAAGTCAGATGAAAGTCTTAACCACATTTTCTTTAATGTATTTTAACCTCAGTATCTTGAATAATTACACATCTCAAAATTTGTTTTGGTCCCATTGTGTTCAATATATCTAGGTTTGACTGTATTTTCACAAACTTCACTCAGTCATTTGTTATTAGATGTATATCAATCAAATTGTGAAACCCTGTGTACCTGTCCACAAGCAGGTGCAGAACACACAAATGGTTTGTCATCTTCATCCTCCATCTTGGGTCACACAGTTGACAAAATGATCTTCAATAGAAAATTTCTCCTGATTATGATATGCAAAATAAAGACTTACACTCTTACTAAAACAATTCAAGTTTCACTCAGTTCGTTAATACATACAATATGTAGTTACACTCAAGAATGCTGAAAATTATTATTAGGACATACTGATGCTCTGTTTGATTTCTAAATGGACAGTACAATGTGCTGCAATTTACACAAATATCAATCATAACTTATTCATTTAACAATCTGCATTAGATATACTAGAATCTATAGTCTAGAAAACATAACTTTCAGATAATTTACTAGGTATAGGTACATGAGTTGTTGTTTGACATAAAACATTTTGATGTATTTTGAAACAGGAAGAAATAAAAATAAAATAATTGAAATTATAACAGGGAAGATGAATCATGAGCAATTACTCTATATTAGTCTAAAAAATAAGACAAATTATCTGCTCAACCATGACAAACTAGTAATACTTTGCACATCATTGTGACTTCTTTGTTTTACATATATTTCTGACACATTTGTATGGCCACTTTCAAAAAACTGTTCAGTAACAATTACTGGCTTATATGTAGATAGAATGTTCTATCGTTAAAATGATAATAATAGTAGTTATCCAGGTCCAGTAAAGGGTGTACGGGGATTTACCCCAGGTTTTATTCCATACACCCTGAGACCGAAGGATGTATGGAATACAACCTGGGGTAAATCCCCGTACACCCTTCATTGGACCTGGATAACAAATTTACTTCCTATTTACCTTAATAAATTCTTTGTAAACAAAACAAATTTATTTCCTATGTACCTAAATAAATTCTTTGTAAACAAGTCCAATCAACTGTGTTTCAAGCTTAAGCTATTGATAAGATTTACCACATCCTACAATGCATCGTGACGCCATGTTATTTGCTTAATATCATGGAGAAACTATGCATTGTGATGTCATGTTTTTTACCCCCAGCTCAAGTAGGGTGTACAAAACTTGGTAACCAATCAAATCTCGTGTTACAAGCTACATAGGAAATAATGTACTACAGAGTCAGTTTAACACTATTTAAAGATTGGTTCAGTGTCACAGTGTGTTGGCAATATATCAAAACTATTTCTGATCAGAGCATCTACTATAAAAAAAAATAATTCAGAATGTCAACATGATGCAATTTTAAGCAAGTCAGGGCTCTCAATTGCTTATAATTGCTTTTATAAGGCTTCTTTCTTAATTTAAAAAGTATCTTTTTTCCCCAACTGAATACCGGTATATAAATTTTCCAAATTGTCACTACCCTCCTCAAATCATGAATTGAGCATTATACATTTGGATTTATAGTAACAAAACTTACAATTCATGTTCCTGTTAAAGGCAAAACAGGAATTTATTACAAATGCCAGAAACCCAAAGTTTGATAACTTTTGATGCATAATCATTTTCCTAAAAATGCCCAAAAAGTAGCAAATTTTCCCAATTTAAATGTACAAGAGCCTTGTAATTAAAAAAAATTGAGAAAATATGGTGAATTCTTCCTTTAAATGGATTTTGGGTGAAGGTTTGTGCAGTTTCAAAAAAGGTTGTTACGCTCAATTTGGTAGCAAATATCATGCAATTTAAATCAAATAAATCTTTAGAGTTATCAAGGATCATGAAGTTAAACCTTTTACTTTATATTAACAAGCTATTCAAAAGTTTTTTTTGTAAGTTTCTTTATTTAAAACAGTAACAAAGGAGAAATCTGAAATTGCAACAGGTCACTCATGCTTGGCCATTTTGCCATGATTATGTCCATGCACTTTCAATCATTGTCCTCTTTGCCTAGTTTGATTTTCATAATCAATGTAAAGTTTTAAAAATTCAAAAATCATGCACCCATATATGATTAAACTAATATTATTTTAACTTTATATAATAATACATGACCAATAATGAGTAGTTTTTTTATGATAATGCCAGGAATGTCAAATACTTAAGTAACAAATATCAAATTGGCTGAGTTGTGAATCTCTGTTATTTATGTCAATCTATTTGAGAATTGAGTAGTCATATACTTGTCAATTTTTGTTTATTTCTCACGAAAAATGTCTTTGTAAAAAAATGTATATAAATAACTTATTTAGCTAAATCAAGAGGTTGTGCTAGACAGGGGTAGACAAATAGAATTTTCCAGTACTTGCCCTCAGACAGGTTACCATCGTAAAATTACTTGTCCTACCAAAATATATGCTTGTCCCAACTTTTTCTTAAATAACACAAAATTAAAGCATTATCATAAAATTTTGGACCAATCTAGAATTAAAATCACTTGACTCTCCCACGGAGAAATTTAGGAGGAAATTTCTAATTCTAGGGAGACTTCTTAGTGTGTGCGGTACGCATCTATTATTAAACTTAAAATTTTAAATGCATGTCACGTATATATTATTTAAATGAAAACAAAAAATAACATCTACAGTGCATTATTATGAAAAAATAACAACCCTGAATGTTAATTCAAGTTTTGAATTCATGATTATATGTGTGATCGACAGTCAACACCTCTAATTTTAATAACATTGACATGTGTTTATATCATGCATATCTAATGGCATGAATTTGACAATATTTAAAAAAGGTCTAAAATCCTCTTTAACTTTTCTGACATTACATCAATACCTGCTATGTTTTACGTCTTATGTAAATTTTACGTCTTGTGTAAATTTTAACAACACATTAATTGGTAAATTCTAGAAGAGTTCTGACCGAGTAGTCGATGTAGTGGTCAACTGCATTGAAAACAGAAACTCTGCTATGATTGGCTACATTTTAACAGCAGTAAAACAAACATTTGAGTATGATTTTTTGTTGACTGAAAAGGCACTTGTCTGCGGACAGGTACCACCTATCAAATAACTTGCCCGCCATACAAAATCCTGGGCGTCGGGCAATGCTATTTGTCTACCCTGCTAGACCTGGTAAATTTTGTCTTTTCAATCTATCTTATCAGTGCTATTCACCCTCTGAATAGAGTACTCTGAATAGGGTGTACAGCTGGTTAAATGATAAAAGTAAAATAACAAAGTCGAAAATTTCAATGGATTGAAAAGTGAAATAGTATAATGACTTTAGTAAAAATAAAAGTTTAGATAAACAGTAAACAAGAACAACAGCTAAATCAAGCTATTTTGAATAGCTAAATAAAGCTACATAGCTAATTCAAGCTACATCGTTAAGCAAGATAAATGAAGATAAACCAGGGGCCAATATACTGACTATTATTGTATAGGTCCCTGATGAAACCAAACTTCAGATTTTGACAGTTCCAACGGTTTTGTTAACCTTCGACTTTTTGTAACAAATTGGTATTTTCTTCTATAAAACAACTATCAGATATAAGTAACCTGATGTAATATGATATTCTGTTTCATTACTTTAAAATAAAACGTTACCATTAATTAACAATCACACAAAATTGATGACTTGCTGAAACACGAAAAATGAAAAATCTTTTTCTAATGGCGACACTTCCGGTCGACAGCAAAAGGAATTCCGAACCCGATCTAAAAAAGTATCCACCTCTACTTCTGAAATAATTTGTACAATCTTAAAGGGGTAGCTAACTTTGGAAATGATAAAGGTAATTTAAAAAGCAAAAACAAACAAACAAACAAATAAAAAGATTTTCGGTATTTCACTCGTCAGCTTTAGAGAAAAGTTTGGTCAGAACCTCTAACTTCAAAATTATTTATTACAATTCAATTTTTATGTTATATTTGATTTAAACAATACAAATTATACAATATTAAATTTAAAAACTGCTCACAAAATTGTTAAGAAACAAGATTTATGTGGTGGAAGGATATTCAGAAGAAATTCTTTTGTTTGATTTTTAAAAATATCTTGGAACTCTAGCCCTTCATATTCTTACTCGGAGAACGTTTTCCGTTATTATATGCTAGGAATATTAAATCTAGGTTTCAATTAATATCTTTAAAACAAATTTTACACATTCACTCAACAGACTTTGCCAAAAGATGAAGATATATTTAAGAAGTCAAGATAAAATTTACATTGTTTTCGCCTGAAAATCGCAGACTTTGACCAATATCTCAAAATTTACATCACTGACCCCAACTTCTTTTAGTTTTATGAATTACACGATACTTTCAACCGATCAGCACTACGTGCAGTCATAAAAAGCTTGATACAAGAAAATATTTTATTGCCTATTTAGATTCTTAATAACCCAAATATGATATTTTTAGTGCAAAAAGGTAACACAATAATTTACACTCATTAATTTGCAGGATTTTTTTCAATAATAAATATTATTCAAACTGTTTAACATAAATAACATTACATTTATCGCCATGATTACATTCGGTAAAATATAATAATTATTAAATTTAAAGTGATTAATCTAAAAGTTACAATTTAAGTGCAAAAAGGTCAACTTAATTGTACCCTTGGATACTGACCCTCAATTTTCTCTGCGATTTTGAGTCACGCCATATAAGTAGTGACCTAAAATATACTTCTTAAAAAAAAACACCTTTAGATAACTCATGTCACGAATGACATTTTTTTAAACGAAGTGCTTTTATTTCATAGTTTTTCTGATAAATCCAGACGGAACTAATGATTTATTGTGTGTGTGTGTGTGTGTGCAATGCACAAAGCCGATGTACAGTTCCTTGACTAAATTTCCTTTGTAACTGGCGATGGATAAAAATGCGACAGACTAGACCAGAATTCGAACACGGGGCCCCTGCATCTTTAGTCAGGTACTCTACCAACTGAGCTGTCTGGCCACCGCCTATCAAACTTGTCTGACAGCCACATTCCTACCTCCTAAAAGGTTTTCGTCCGCGAAGACACTAACCAGGCTCAGACTAGCTCTTCCCTGGCAGGTTTTCACCTGTCACTTCCAGGGAATGGCGCGGCACCAAATGGAACAGGAGAGGAAAAATGCAAGGGACCAGGATTCGAACAAGGGCCCACTGAATCCAGTCAGGTTCTCTACCAACTGAGCTAAAATGTAGCTCATTGTATCTGGCTGCAGGCAATCAAACCTGCCATGCACCTTCGCTAGGCAAGGGCTTCTGACCCTTGGCTTGCGAAGATGCGGTCCTGCATGACCTCCACATTTTATAAGGACATATAATTCTCATCCCTTAAGCTATAAGCTAAAATATATTGAATCAGTCAGTTTTTACTGTTAAGTTACACGCAGTCTTTCAGGATAAAACTTTTTTCTGTAAATATGATAAAGATTTTGAGGTATGATAGAAATCTAGTTTTTTCTTCGACATAACAGCATTGCAATCAAACACTGAAAATTTGAAAATCCTAATGCCGTGATAAAAATGTACATGATTTTTCTGGAGAGTATTTTGTTCCATGACAAAAATTCTAATCCACAATCTAAATAATTCTTCCTCTTCCTTTAACATCATACGTGGTATCAGTGGGAGTTCAAAACTAGAAGGGTTTCAGTTCATTCTTCGAATTGAATTTCCACTAAATTCTAAACAGAATATGATGTTAAAGGAATTGTTATTCAGCAGACCAAATTTTTATATTCATATGAAACAGAATGCATCCAGAAACTTCTAAATGAAAAGAAGTAGTCTCTTGCTGTGGCCTTCAATTCAAAATTCAGATTTCGACGACGATTTATAAGTTATCAGTACACATTTTCATTCCTACGTTGATTCGATATATCCCTTTGAACTCGAAATAAAAGATACCACAGAATCTGACACATCTGTTTTATATTTGGAATATTTTACTAGAAAGATGTAAATGGTAACCTAACAAGAAAACTTCATGATAAACGTAAAAACTTCAACTTTTCTATCGCGAACTTCCTTATTTATGTACAATTATCACCTGTATATGGAGTTTATGTCTCCCAGTTGATTCGATCCACAAGAGCATACCCTACGTCCGAACAATATCTAAAACGAGACAAGCTATTAACAAACAAGTTGCTGAAACAAAGATATCAACAGTCTCGTTTAAAGTCAACATTTCGAAAATTCTATGGTCGATACAATGGCTTCATCAGCAAATGCAATCTATCATTAAGTCGAATGTTGACTGACGTTGAAATTGTTAAGCAATGATTTTCTCACTAAATTGTCTACTGATTTTTCCTTTTCCCCGATCATGACAAGGAGCACACGGCGGGTGTGACCGGTCGGCAGAGGGTGCTTACTCGGTACAACTGTACCTGATCCCACCTGTGATGTTTTTAGAGGCCCGTGTTTGCTCTGCTCCAAATTTGCATTGTTTCAATGGACTTTTGAGCTTGATTACGGTTCGTTATCTTCTTATTTCATGATACCAAAAACTATAATTACATTTTTGAAAAATATTCTACATATTTCATTGCTTAATACATGTATTTCTATTCCTATTAATAAATTTTGCACATGTAATTGGTCAAGTCTATTCTTTTATGATTATAATCATTTTGATTTATTTATACCTTATACATTTCATCAAGAAATGCTCAAGTATTCTCATAATCCATTTTCAATTACATGTATATGAAATATGTATGTACATTTCTTCCCTTTTTTATAAACCTTTTCTTGTCTAAACTTTGTACGATACCTTTCATGTAAACCAAAGTTTAACTTTCAACAAAAAGTTATCTTGGAAAGTTCAAGAAGAAAGACATGCTTTTCAATAGGCATAAATCATGAAAAATTTTAGCGTGTCGTGGAAAATATGCATTGAGAAAAATGTATCGGATCATATCCTCATAAATGACATATTGTCTTTGGTTTATTTCCTCAAATAGCATTTTATGACTGAAATATTACTACTCGTCGGTTGAAGTTCATGACGGTATGAAATCAGTATTTCTTTCGAAGAAATCTTTAAGAAAAATTACATCTTTTGCAGTAGTAAATACTACTATTTTACTTCAAGACATGTACATTTGTTTTAAAATGATAGCAATGTCTTATACCACAGGTAGAAAGTAGCAACGAGGGTGAAAGTTAGGGCTGTGTCAATATATCGAATATTCAATACGTATCGATTTTCACCAATGTATCGTATCGAAAAAATGACTTCCAATACGTATCGGACAGGCAGTTTTCCTTATAATTCTGTAAAAAAGTTGGGAATTTCAGTTACCAAAAATTATTTTTAACTGTTTTGAATTAAAACTGGTCAATAATGAAATAAACATTAAGGAGATAGCACATCTTAAATAACTATTACAAAATACATAGACAACTATATTTTAACATGTTATGTTAGACTCACCCAGTTTTTATGAAATTTATGCATTAAATGTCATTTACAAGACATTTGTGAAAGACTTAATAAATAATCCAATATATTGCATATCACTTTAAAAAACGTCGTATCGTATCGTATCGAAATATTTTGCTCAATACAATACACAGCCCTAGTGAAAGTTATTAAGGTTTTAAGGTTTTAGGATACAAAAAAAAAAAAAAAAAAAAAAAAATCAAGTACGATGTTAATATTAGCTAATTAAAAGCTTTATGTTTTGTTCAAAATGGATCAGATTCCCCGTATATCACAGGCAGTTTGCGTAGAAATGTGCCGCATAGTAGGGATGCCTGCACTAGTGGCCTTAAGACGAGAAATGAAGGATGTTGATGAGATAATACGGAAGTCAGTACAAGAGGGGGAAGGAATAAGAAGATATTATAGTGGAAGCAATTAAAGAGGGATTTGGTCCATTAGCATCGGATTATCACGTCATGTTCTGTCGTACTGATCACCACGTTATATGGGATTTAAATCATGCAGAAAGATACAGCACAGTAAAATGTACTTTGATTCTAATGGAGTATTCTAAGGGGCATCCTGGCTTTGCTATGTTACAGTTACTAAACCAATCAAACGTTACTGATGTTAGACAGTCGTGCGTCAGAATAAACGATGGAATATATTTAACAAGCGCAAAATACAGAGAAAATACACTGTCTTTAATTTTCAAAGATTTCATCCCACATGGACCTTGTGCAAGTGGAAAAAATACCTTTAGGTACTAAATACGATTTCGTACATTGCTTCGCCTGTAAACACTGGCCATCCATTGCCACTTCTTTTACTTTCAGATGATGGCCACCGAATCATGATTTAAGAGATATCACCAACTCGGGTTGTCATGTTGAAGATTGTGAATGGAGGATTTCATTCTCTCTAGCTGAACATTAACTTATGTTTTGTATGAATCATACACAGTTCATGTGCAATGGATTGTTGAAATTATTTCTAAAACAAGTCATGACTTATAAGGTTTCGAATGGAAAGCCTCTCCTTTGTTAATATTTTATGAAAACGGTTTTATTCTGGGTTATTCAAAATCATGCCGTAATAGACTGGAACCCATCAAGTCTGTTTTCAGGATTCTGGTTGTGTTTCAAGTTTTTATTGTCATGTGTTTATCATAGTTATCTTCCAAACTTTTTTATCACTGAAAATAACCTATTCATTTTGAAAATATTTGGACGTTCACAGCAGTTACTCTATGAATG